TTTTCGCGACCTTCGATTGAGAGTACCATCGTTGCAGCCTCAATAAGGCTCAGTTTGAATCGACGAGGGGCCACCACAGAGAGCACGAGGCTTCCTCCTAGCTTCGACCGGTACGCCCCTTGCTCGATCAACAGTCGCCCAGGCCCCCAACGTACGCTGGGTAGGGAGGGATTCGGGGCAACCGCTAGGAACTTAGGGTAGGGCTGTAGTCTAAGACTATTCCTAGATGCCGCAGGCGTGACCAGGTCACGAAAGCAAGCAGACCGAGCGCGAAAGCGGGTGAGAAAGCGAATGAGCGACCATGCTGGGGTCTTTTGTGTGTGCGCCGCACAATGGCTTCATTCAACAGGGCCATCCGATACCGGGGCGAAGGTATCAGCAGGCTCCTTGCCTGCCGCCTCGCTTGCCAGCCGCCACCTTACTTGCTCGGCTATTGTTTCCGAGGGCTATCTGGTTCGCTGTCAAGAGACATCATGAAAACAGAAAGATTCACGCATCGGGATCAGACCTTTCCAGCGATAAACTTCGACGAACCCAAGCTTAGACATGTCGATGCTAAGTCGCGATCCATCGCGAGGAAGATTTCACGGAACTTTAGAATTTGGAAGACCTCGCTAACCTCGCAAGGGTGAAATTGCCAAAAAATATCGCGGCGGGCATCGACATGCTTGAGGATTAGCGACGGAGAAGTTGCTACACCCTCGATGGCTACTATGTAGGTACGCGGGGCAACTCAGGGAACGGGGTCGAAAACAAAATGAAGGGACGCAGACTTCGGGAAATCAGTGTAGGGCAGCTTGTGGGTAATGGGGTCTGCGACATGGGCGTGGAAAGGCATCTTCATTTCGGCTACACGATAGCACGATGGCCGTTGCCAGCAATGGACTACAGAGGGTGGGTGGGCACGCAATCTACCGCATAAAATGCATGGATCCCTCGCCGGTGGACATGCACAGACATCGGGAGAATGCGGAGCCATGCCAGTTCTCGCGCCCCGTTACCAGTTCTGAAGATTGCGACAATCGACTCAGAGCATGGCGCAAAAATGCGGGTAGCGAGATACGATTGTCTGGGCTTTTCTCTGACGTTTCCGGCGAAATAATGGACAGTGAGGACGTAGGTTTGAGGATAATCATATCGAGGCGCCCATCACACCAACTCCCGACCTGGACGCTGTATTATTCAGATCATATCCTCACGAATCTTCTGCCAATGTTGGTTTGATGGGACAATCCGTGCTTTTCCGAAACTCCGACTCGGTCTCGGGTGTGCTCGATCGGAGCCGTCTCAGCGTTTCGCGTAGAACCTCCAGCTTATCGTCTACGGAGGAAAGTCGCTTGCGTCCCCTTGGGACAGCGCAACAAAAACGCTCTATTTTCTTTATAGTAAAAGATATTTGTGTTTCCTCAATGGCCTCTATCTGCCTCGGGGCCTTTGCCGATACACTGTCATTCGCACAACCCTCGGGGATAGAAGCCCGACACTCTCGCTAAAGACTTCAAATTTTCTGTTTAAACGCTACCGAGTCCCGCTCAGATCCTCGCCAAGGTTATTTCGAGGAGAAAATACTCAGGTAGCCGAAAAATCAGCTTCCTCACAGGGGTTCTTCACGGTTTTCCCGGGAATGACGCGACTTTATTCACCGTGCTCAAATTTAGATTTCATTGTATCTCTCAGACCCGGAATCCCCTTCCTCGACGAGGCATCCCTACAGTTTTCCGCTCGAAACTGTAGAGAGTCTCGAACGATGCTGGACATGTGCCGCTCCCGTTCAGGAGTTCCGAATATCGGCCTAGAATACGCGCGAAGAACACAATATCGGCCGAATTCCTCCGATCCCTCAAGCGCTCCACACGGATCCATTCAGAAGGCTACAGTTTTTTCCACACCTATCCAAAAAGTGTCGGAATGTTCGATATATGCAAAGAGCTGCGCCGTCGCCCTCTCATTTCGTCTACCCGGCGTCTCGTTCTCCTTTTCGCCCTCCTAGCACACCCCTTTGTCCGGAACGGGGTAAATAGCTTTTAATGCGGCCACCAATATGACGACAGGGAGGAAACTTTCCCTTGTTGTTCGAGCGCGAGACAAGCAAGAGCAGATATCGCGAGTGTGTGTCCTTCGACTGAGGTTTTCACGAAACTTGGGATCCAGTGGAGGAGGTATTTTTTCGAAGATTCATGTTTGCACGTTTCAACTTCTATAGCGGTGTCGAGAGTCGAGACGATGCTCCTGTTCATCTTACTTTCGAGGGGTTGCGCTGTCGAACGTTTTGCCGTGAAGTGACATCACAGCGAACCGAGTCAGGACAACAGCAGATAGAGACGGACGTGACCCTGGTACAAGTAGGGTCGGATCTGATTTGCTTTTGATTGGGTTCACGCGACTGAGTTTTAATAAGCTCATTTCGGCATTAATTCGCATGCTCCGCGATAATTCGATAGCAATCGCAAAAACACTAGTTCGGATTTGATGTCTCCCGTAAGCGCTTGACGGGAAACCGAAACGTCCATTCTTCTGCTCGACATGAGAGAGTTTCCGGGTGGAAGAAGAAAAGGAATCAGGCATCCCCGTGAAGTCCTCTGAGCAGCTGGAAACTCACCCGCAGGACATCGATTTGTGGAATCGTTTTTGGGGGAAATAGTGGAGTCGGGAGATCGGAGGGGCAAGAGAGGAAGAGGAGGAGCGCCGTTGCGGAAGTGACTTTTGAAGACAAACGACGCCATTATCAAATCCAAAGGAAAGAAGAGGTCTATTTTGCACGTTACGGATCACCGACGCACTACGTCTCCTGGGGGCCCGGGCACGCGTCGCGGTCTGTGACGCCAGATGTGTCCACAATTATTGGGGACAGGCATCCAGATAGGAGGACCGGCATGCTTTGCTGACCTATTCCTCGCTCCCTCCGTGCCAGTTCCGGGAAGCCTCAATGAGGACATGCTCAGAGAAATGGCCGAAGCGGACGCGTGAGCGCATTCATACGCACGTCCCCTTGAGCGCGAGTGATCGAATTGAATTTGTTTCCGAACGCTCCCGATGTCGATGTGAGCTCTCGAGATTCGTTCTACGCGGTGCTCGTCCGTGGCGTCATAAAAGAGTCGTGAGTGTCGTGCTCTAAAGCGGGCATCGTGGACGCTCCGAGGAGGCTGCAGGCAGCCGTCTCGTTGACCAGCGCGGATGGCGCTTCACCACAAAAGCCATGATTCGTGAAATCACTTTCTAATAAAAGCGACACCACGTACCGGCACGGCCTTTTAGATCAGAGCACACGAGGCGAAAAAAATTGCCCCCGGATTTCGACAGATGTACATTCATGCTAAGTAGCAGTCGATACGAATCGCGTGGCGGTCGGGTGAGCTCTCAGGGCGATCAAAAAGAAGAGTAGGGGCTAGCGGCTGGCGGGAGAGACTTTTGCGAAATTCATCGGCTGAATGAAGCGTGCCGCCGCTATTTTTAGTTTTTCTCAATAAACCCCATACGGAATAATGCTCTACGTGTGGGCGTTGAGTCGTGGTGCCTACGTACTGAATAGATGATCATCTGCTGATTTATGCGGTATGGAATACTCGTGCCGCTGACTCCATGAAGGACTTACTGGACTGGAAATTAGTGATTGGTTTTCACCATGGCTCAGGTGGGTATCAGAACACCGATAAGGCAGTCATTTCACGTATGGTGTCGAGAACGGAGACTTTCGAGCGTCTGGGGACACCGAAGCCTTGGAAACGGAACGTTCTCGAAGCATAAGTCTCCCGTCTCGGGGAAGCTCCCTCGGCCCTCAACGCAATGCGTTCCGCGGAAGAATGCGGCCTCGAGTAGGTGTTCAGTACATATTTGTGTTCGGTTCACATTTATTTGATTTTCTATCCGGATTCCGAATGACAATTCACTGCCCATACGAACTCGATTTGGAGGGACAACATGACAGATTTCATAGCCGACTGAGCTCACCGCGTCAGAACAATGGGTCTCGCTTTGCTGGCTATTCCCGTTTCGTTCGTCAAGCGGTCGGGAGAGAGACTTGACGGATCTGAGCGCAAGTTAGAAAAGCAAGGTTTTGCATAGAGAGCTTCACATTAATGGGTCACGTTTGTCGTGTGGCCACCGATCAGCTTCCATCGAATCTCGTAATCCGTATCGATCTGTCAAGAGGACCGCGAATTAGGCTGACAGTTTGATTTTCAAATCGCGATGATTTTTCTAATTATCTCGGAACATTGAACCCACGGAGCTTGTTCCGATCCGGCCGAGCGACGTAGCCTCGGGGCAGCGGTCGCTCAATTTCAACTTGATTTTTTTAGGCGAGCTTCGTTCCTCGCCGGCCACGATCAGAGGAGGACGACAGCTCTAATCGATGTTCCGTTGTCTATGGATCGCCATCATTGGATAACTCCCATTAATTGGTCAGCTCACACAGCCACGCGGGCGATGCACTCCACAAGACGAATCCATCGGATGTCTGACTGCGACTACGCAATGAGTCGGCGCTCTACCTTGTTCTATGAATAAATCGTAGCCATCGATGGGAAAATCAGTTTTCCCTCGAATTACTCCTCTCAAGGATCGCATGACCACCACCCTACGGTGCCGGCCTATGAGCACTGTGGGGCATGAAGACCTTATTTTTTGGCCTCGATATGACCTCCCCAGATACTCTCTTGACCACTGTTGGGGTTCCTCTTGCGACACGGAGGCCACGGATTACCGTCAAGAGAAGGAAACTTCTTGAATTGTTTCGAAATTCATGTTTTCGCATGCGGCCCCGATTCTATCAGATTCGATCCGTGAGTTGAATTTTTCCTTGGGGAGCCTGCGGATTTTTTATGAAAATGAGAGGTGGGTTCAGGGAACCTCTATGGTTCACTTCTCCCAGCGAGTCTTGATATTTTTCCCGCCATGGTTCGAACGCTTCGATATCGACCGCTTCCTAGCTCCCAAAGCCCGGTCGATGGAATACACATTCCTAGCCGCATGGGACAGCGGACCCCATCGATGAGACTTACCTGATATGAGCAATAAGATACAGATCAAAAGTTGGCGTAGGAACATTGTGTTACAAATGCTGTATGTTTCGAGAGGAGCACAGTTTCACTTTCGAACCTCCTCGATTCCTTGTTGAGCGCGACGCTCTCGATTCCAGCCTCGAGCTCGTGAGGAGTATTTTCGGAATCACAAGACCGAAACTTCTTCTCTCCGATCAAATTTCAACTTGGTGCAGTCCGAGAAAATTTGTCTGATTGCACTCTCCTCCCCTTCTCGTCCGGCTCCGGTCTCTTCCGGCCTTGCGGTCCGTCCAATGACAAGTGGACTGACGATAATCACTGAGCACAGCTGTCACCTATCTACATCCATCGGGGGAGACTGCTCCGATGGGACCGAAGTTCTCCGAAGTCGAAGTTGAATTAGATCTTCGGCTCACGAAGCGGTCTATCGTCTCGAAAGTCGTCGACGTTGTTCCGCTGTGGATGGGCTTCGAGCGACATCCTGCACGTGCGTTCGAACAGCAACTGAACCTGTGCCTGAGCCTCGAGTAAGGCCCTCCTTCGTTAGCAGCGCCCCCTAGCTTTCTTCCCCAGAATCTGAATGCCCCCGCCACGACGTATGACAACTGTTGCTGTTGTTCTCCGGACTACACGTGACCCTATGAGGGAGGTCCTCTCTGCGCAAAGGACCTCCCACTTCTTCGCGCTGTGACCTTTAAGACGAGCAGAGGAGCTCAGGAGTGACCAAGGATACCTGCTCAGAGCAGTGAACCACTTCGCAACGACTATCTGAACAGGTAGTGGTTGAGGCTGGAACCGCTCTCTAGCGGGCTTACTCCGACTTTGCTCAAGCAAACGAAGGGGCCTCAGAAACTTTCTCCGCCAAATGAATGCGAATTCCCTCCTCGAGGCTCGATTCTCATCTTTCGGAATCGATGGATGGAATGGAAAGGACAATATCGAAAAGAGAAGAGAACTAAAACTTTGAGTATTATTTGATCCCGCAGTATTTTTTAATGAGTTCGATTCGACGTCCGCCCCTCGTGCGGGAAAGCAGAAGCACAAGTTTACTGCAAGTGAGACCTCTGTCGCCGTCGTCGTTCGCACTCGGAGGAAGCGAGCGACAATACATGTGGGTACACATGAACGGTGGAAGTGACCAACCCGCACGAGAGGCTGCGAGAGCAATCGACAGATGTGCATATTCCAAATGAATCCAGCGAACAGCACTCTTGAATGCCGTCGGGTAACGAGGCCACATGCGAGAACCGATTATTGCGGCGGCGGAACAGGCTGCCCGTCGACCCGACAAGAATTGAGAAACCGGAAGGAACAGAGCCCCGCTCCGATAGAGATGGCGCTCTGAGCCAGTACGAGAGGATCGCTGTCGGCTTAGATCCATGTTGACGATTGATAATAAGCGACTTGGGATCGCGAACCGTGCACGAGTTGAGCATCGAAGACAGTCTGCTCTCAGGACGGTGAAGGACATCAGGAAGCAATGCGGCAAGGGCTCATTTCAGCTGTGCCACTCCATCTGGGGCCTTCGTCCGGCATTGGCGAAGGATTGTACAATCGATTCTTGAGATCCTGAAGAAAATAAGGACTAGACACAAGGAAGAATACGAACCTCCTAGAACCGCGGATGGCATCGCGATTAAGGACTTGCTGTTCGACGCAAGATACGCTGCCGAGACCGGAGACGAGCTTCGTGGGCATGTCCGTCGACTGCGCCACTGTCGGTCCAAAGGAGAAGATCGTATGTGATTTGCTTCTTCTTCTTCTCCTTAACTCGATCCGCTTGACGTATTCCTGTGACTTCCGCTTGCGCTGTCCTCGTTGCTCTAGATCCCTACCTTCGTTCCCTTGAAGTTGGACGGAAGGCGCTGCCAACGAAGTAGCCTGGGGGGCTCCCATGCTGTAGGTCATGGAATAGCCTTGGAAAAGCGGATCCACGCCGCGCCATCAACCCACAGCTCAAGGATCATTCGGGTTGAGCCCCATATATTGTGTGGGTCCGATGGAGAGAAGAAGAACTCGACTCAGGTCGATGAGAGGCTGCTGCGGATAATCGAGACCTGACTTAGATATGATGACTTCAAGAACCTCATCGGTTGAGATCTCCCGGAGCAAAAAGTCGGTGGTCCACAGAAGTTGATGCTCGGTCGAGTCTATGGGTACGTCCCACGGCTCCATCACGGGACCCTGTCTTCGGGAGGACCACGGAAGCAACTGATTCTTGAAGCGCGACACCGAAAATTTGGGAATGCTAAGCCCGCCGGAGGAGAACGACGATCGCAGGACGATGTCTGCGTGTACGAGACGCTCTAGGAAACTCGCTTGCAGGGAGGACACTGGAAGGAACCTTCCCGTGCAGCCTCCATCTTCAAATCGTGAACTTCGGGAACCATAAGAGGTATCCGACGTCAGTCATGAACTCATTGATTCTCGTGAGAGGAGTCTTCCTCAAAACCCCTCCTGTCAGCATGTCGTTGGTTTCGAGGACTCAATGTGTTAAGACAACTTGATGATCCGAGTTGCAGAGACCAGACCCTGAGAGTGGAAAATGCGAACACATGAACATTTATTCCAGTCTGAAATGAATTTGCCCTAGATTCCGTCCATAAACTTTCTTTTATCGAGTCTGTTTTGAGAGTCGCTCCAAAACAGCTCGTCAGAAAAAATCCCCGGGGTGCCCGAGTCAGGGACTCAGGCGGTTTGTGGGCGTAGAACTACGTGAACACGGAACACGTAGTTCCGTGAGTTCGAAGATCTGCGAAAGATTTTCGATACTACCCTCCGGTCGACGAAGGGTATCACGAGATTTCCTCTGGCCGTTGTTCAAAAGACGCTTTTTTAGTTTGAGGAAAACGAGATCAAAGAACTCAACTGCGGGAACGGGATTCGGTCGGTAGCAGCCTTCGAAGACTTCGGCAAATTTTCTAAACTCAGAAATGTTGACGAATGACATCAAAATCTTCTTATTACTCAACCGACAAACTTCAATCGGATATACGGTCCGATATCAGCACCGAGTGCGGCGTCGTTTTCCGCTTGGCAACCCGCGATTCGGACGGCAAGCGGTACGTGACCGAGTGCCACACTTCCTCGTGGAGGGTATAAGGATTAAAGAACATCGCGACGATGCGTATGAAAGGTACATTAGATTCCATGACCATGTCCGCCTAGGAGAAACGCTGCTACATGATCTGCTCTCTCGATGAGATCTCATATTGCCGATCTCAAGGAACAATCATTGCATTGTCCGATGGAGGATTTTTCGAGTATCGCGAGGCCGCGCATCCGCATCTAGACGATGATGGGAATGAATTAGTTGAAGACTAATAAATGAGGTTCTTAATGGAATGTCGAAACCTTAGAATGATCATGATTCGGCATTGTAAGGATGGCTTCCCTTATCCTCCTTTTCGAGACCATCACTGGGCGGCGGCACTCAAAAAAGAGAGCTCTTCATTCTGGAATGATTTGTCCCAACGCGATAGACACACGTGCATTCATTCGCAATGCTGCGACAGGACGACAGCACCGTCTAAAAAGTTTATCGTTGGGTGAACCACTCCCTCCCAATCGTCCGCTAAGCCGTACGGCCCGCCGTGGCTAGATTCTCTTCGCACCACGTTGCGTCCTGCCTGATAGGTGATTTCCTGAGGACCACTTCGGTTGAACTGAACTACGACTTCTCGCCCTTGTTTGTCACGGGAATCTGCTCCGTATCGCTTGTCTGAACACTGTTCGTTTTCTTATGTCGGGATTATGGCTGACGATGTATTAGGCGCAACTCGTTCTTTTTTCTTCACGGAGTCCGGCATCCTTAGCTTGCTAGTCAGAAGGTTCTCCGCCGGTGTCCTTCCACGACCATCGACATCGACCAATGAGGAAAGGAAACGCACGAATGTAGTAGCCAAGGCTAGAATGAACGACGAGAGTCCATTCTCATAAGAGGAGATATGAAATGAAGAACGCGCGCACATCGTTTTCCGCTGTCATTATACAACCTCAACCGGAGGTGTTAGTTGTCTTCAACATCGTCGCAGGGTGGAGAATTGAGGAAAGTTTCAACGATTAATTTAGCAAAAACTGAGGCGATCCTGAAGAAATAGATCCATCTTTAGCGGAGGAGAGATCCTCCGCCAAATATATGTTTAAGATCAGAAAAAGGGAATTTCTGGGTCCATCAATCGACATAGCGTTTCCAGATCAGTTGATTAGGACTAATCAAGGTATGCTGAGGGTTTCTTGCCCTCAGTTTTTTCAGCCTCCGAGTCTTCGTTCCGACGTTCTGCGAGAACGAGCCTACTTCTTGGCCTGTATTTAATGAAATAATCAAGATAAGGGGGAAATTGAGTAGCATGAGCGGTGCCTCATTCTCAGCCGGACATATTCAGCCATCACCATTTTCATTGTCAAACGCTCTGTTTCAGAGAAATAAGCTCGACAAGTTTGTTACACAGGTGACTCGCATAGAAAAAATGCGTAAGCCTCTAGCAGACGACCCCAGCACAGACGCATGCTATCTCCAAGATTCGAATTTTTTCGAGCTTTGGCCCCCCAATACTCCCCATTGAAAATGGTGCCCTTTACCGAGGGCTATAGCGTAGTTCTACGCTAAAACAGGTGGTATCTGAGTTCAATCGCTCTCTCATCCAGGATATCGACGTGATGGCAGTCAAACTGCCGCTCGGATGGGTGATATCTGAACTAGGCTGATCCACTCGTCAGTGTGAATCGCGGAATGCACAGCGATACGAGATTTTCTGAAATTTTCCGGAGCATCCTTCGGAGAATGCATCGTCATTATTTCCGTTCGTCGAATGGCCCTCATCTGGGGGAGGTCAGCATCGTTCGGCGGAAGGGCACATGGGAACCCGTGAGGTCAACGGAAGGCATACATATTATTCATTTTTTGCTCTCATGACGAATTATTCATGTATCTGCATGTCTCTCGACGTCTATCGCTCCCCCATCCCTAATCACTTCCTAGGCATCTCTCTCTCAGGTGCTATCGAACTCCTTCCTTCTTCTCGATCGAAGATTGGACGTGTATCTCTTGTGGTGAGGAGCATCACGCACAATAAAGGAATTGCAGGCAGCAGCTCCGTTGACGAATTCACTCAGGGAGCGACGACATACGTCGGCAGGAAGCCTCCCGTACATGAAGCAACGATAGCGATCGACACATGCAAGAACTTCAAGTCCACGTAGCGGACAGTCCACGTGAATGCGGTGGCGTATAGAGTTGATACACCGATACCGATTATTATTGCAGTAGCGAGCCGAACCGTCCAACGACCCGCAGTGGAAGGGAAGGTCAACAGATAGCTGGCCTCATTCTTCGTCATCAGCGATGCCGGATTATGTATTACGTACAACAACATAGTGCACGTCACATTCTCGAGAAAGGCAGCGACAATTATGCAGCTAGACAAAAAAGCGAAAACAGACCATTCGAAGAAGAGCGCGGAGGTGTTCGACGCCCCTTCTGATGTCTCTGTCCGGTGTTGCCGTAGAGCTGTGCGATCGATCGTGAAGAGATACAGGATGACGGAACCCATGAGGGAGTAAAGTCCTCCGAATGTTGCGTATGGTATCGCGATGTGGGAGGTTTCGCTCGGAGCTAACTCGTTTCCGGATGAGACGCACGTCAATTGATGGGCGGTTCCGTTGGTCGTTACGCTTTGGAAGTCTTCCTCTACAGTTTTCAGTAGACTCCCGGCTACGAATTCGTCATTTCCACGTGAACAGGAATGGAGCTCTGATGAACCCCACTTACTTTTCTGGAGGTCCGAGGAAAGGTATCACTATTAGTGGGTCGAGAGGGCTCCCACACCGTAGCCGATTTCAAAGGAGTATGATTCCGAGCGAAAGTCGATTCCCGGAGTCATCCGGAGTTATTTATTCAATCGGGGTAAGGAAACATCTAGCTTTGCATCCAATTTCAAACTTCTCTAGAACTGAAGATTTCATTGAGCTGTCGACTGACTCGGATTAATGTTGTCCGTCGAGGCAACTCCTTGATTTTGCGTGATAGCTCTGCAGCATTGGTCCTCGCCTTACCCCACAGCTGAACGAGCCAGACGTCGAAACCTGGAAAGGGGATGCGTCCTCGGTAGTACTTTTGAGATATACCATGTTTCCTCTAATTGAATTATTATATTGGGAGGGCATACTGCAATTTATGGGCACCTCCTTGGGTAACCGAAGAATCGAGGGTCGTTCCATGATCCGGATAGGAAAACGCAGCTAAATGAAATGACTCATGGTGTAGAATCAGAGGGAATGCGGTGAATGAGATATATGTATAAGGGAGGGATCAGCGCAAATCGAGCCTCTATGCCTCTATTCGATGTCGGATACACATCCCGTCTATGAACGGGAAAGGAGTGAATCCGTCCCAGAGATCAGTCTAGACAGATGACCGTCTATTTGCCGATTTCAAGAGCTCCTACGCTCAGTCCTGTCGCGAAGGAACCGGCATGAGCTATAAAATATTGAAGTGCGACGTCGGGAGCGATGGCAGTCCCCAGCCCGCTGAGGATGAGAAAGAAAATTATAACGATTTTTGCATTGACATGCTCATATAAGCACCCAGCACAAAGAAGAGATCCTGGAAAGGTTCGGATGAATCTCAATCCATCCTCCATACCCCACCGATGTAGATCTTCTTCCCGATTCGTTGGAGGAAAGGAATGGGTCGTGTGGGAGGGCTCTCTCACCTATTATCACCGCGATCTCCGCAGCTTCTGCGAGCTCCATGTGGTATATGCTCTGTAAGTCCTCATATGTCGCACCCGGAACTGCGGAATCCAGACCCTGGGAGAGCGTAAGGAACTGAGATTTTCATCCCACTTCATGAATAGAATCGTCGAGTCTCGGATTTTCGCCTGACTCGACGCACGAAGCGGAAGGGCTATGCGAATCCGATAGTGTTGACTCTCAAAACCGTCGACTGATCAGGAATCGAGCCGACGAACGACGAGAATAGCAACGTGGAGGTCAGAACTCACCAAAGCGAATGAACGCTCGGAGATCACGCCTGTATGGGATTCCTTCAATCCTCCCGGAGACTACGGCGGCGATTCTCGCAGTGAATTCATGATTCTTGCCCACAATCAATCTGGAGCGACCTTCCGCGACGGTCAATGGTCCTCCTCCGAGTCTCGGAGCCCTCTTATTTCTCCTTCGAGAGCGCACCTGCCATCCAGGTATCCTCGAAGCTCAGAAGTCCGAGGTTCGCCCCACAAGCAATCCAAGTTGCTTCCTCCAGATCATGTCTACCAAGCTTCTGTGAATCCTCCAATCCAGAGATCGGTCACGGGGAACAAAAAGATGGGAGCTTCCTTCTCCTGAGCTGAGTCACCAGGCAATAGAATTCCGTCTTCAGTATGCAAGCGCGGCGACTTCCGCGCGTCAGCAACGCTAGCAAACATTTGAATCTCATCCCGTTGCACAGCTGTCTGTCGCCGGAGAGTCGAGCCTCTCTTCGGAGAGACGATTTCGGCTAAGAGCATCCTCTGTGAACGACGAATATGAACCCGGAAATCACGCCCGTATGAGCTCCTCCCAATCTGCTATTCGCGTCATCAGATTGAGAATCCATATCTACCGTTTTTTTTCCATCCACTGCCCGGGACCGTTCTCGTGACGGATGCGAGTGGAGGCTAAAGCGTGTGAGTCGTGTGTCGGGTCGTGGTTCCCCTTCGGCAACGGAATTCGTTGAAGTCAGGGACTATATAGCGGGTCGTGACAGCACGCTCAATAGGTACGATTTTGAGCGCAGCGATCCCTGATCAGCGCAGTCCGTCCGAAAAATTGGTGTCCTCCGAGTGAACTTTGATCAAGTCTGCCTCTACCATTAGACTCTACCTCCACTTGATGGGGAACAGCTCGATTTACTCAAAACATTCGTGAGACTTGGGCGAGTTCCTTCTGGGAAGAACCGAGTCGGGAATGACGAGCGAGAACGATCGAGGTAAAGAGTTCATAATGATGAAGAGTTCGGTGATGCCGATACTGAGCTGGAAAGAGTTAATAATAATACCGTCTGTCGAATCACGCTTTCGATTCCCCGTGAATCCTCGATCACGTCTTGTGGACCCCATTCATCGACTGAAGGCCCGAATGATAAGACTGAGGGCCCCCTTCCTCAGCCGATCTAGACGTCCGATGAAGGCGGGGCGCATTCCATTGTCTCAGTGGAGCCTGACACCCTAGACCGCGAACGTCTCTCGCGTCAGGAGCCATCGCACTGCATATTCATCTTCCTCCCCGAAATCCTTTGACCCCTCCTTAAGCCGGCTATTGCTCGCCTCTCGTTCTTCGCATTAGATTAACGTAGTCCGTAGTCGTTTTTATGGACATTGCGCAAAAAGCGCTATGACAGCTCAATACAGGGAAGATTGATCAATGAGGCGTTATTCAAGATGCGCCGACTCTGCTTCTGCCGAACTCGATAGATTTCCGTGTAGGATTAGCAATGGGGGAACGGTAGCTCTAGTCTGCGAGGTTATCCCGAATCTTTCTCAACATGAATCCTCTTTATTTTCTTCGTTTTCCTGAATGAAAGTGTCCCTCGCGTCTGCAACCGAAGCGCTATTTACATCTCGCTCAGAAATTGGACGTCTCCTTCTCGTAGTCCACAGCATCACGTAGATGATACAAGTGAGGAGGACGACGCAAAGCAAGGAGACCGCGGGCAAGACCTTCGTTGTCGATTGCACCCACGGGGCCACGACATATGTTGGCAGGAATCCACCGGTACATGAAGCCACGAGAGCGAATGACACGTGTGCATACTTCAAGTTGATGTAGCGAACAGTCCAGGTGAATGCAGTCGGATAAAGAGGTGAGATTCCGAAACCGATGATGGCAGTGGCGAGCCAGATCGTCCATCGACCCGCCACATCGGGAAAAACCATAAGGAAGAGAAGTCCCACACCCATGGCAACGATGCTCTGAGTCAGGACTAAGATCGTGTTTGGCTTCAGTCGCGTCGAAATTAGCATTGAAAGCATTCGCGAACCAGTATAGAATGCCCAATAGAGCGAGAGGAGGTAGCTGGCGTCGCTTTTAGACATACGCAAGGCCGGATCATTGATGACAAACGACGGCAACATCGAAGACATGATACCTTCGAGAGTGACGGTAACAACTACGAAAGCGACGAGCAACGCAACTACAGTCCATTCGAAGCTGAGCGTGGAGCGCTCTGCCGCTCCATCCGATGGATGCTCCCGGTGTTGACGTAGAACTGTGCGATCGATCATGAAGAAGAACAACATGACGAGACCCATGAAAGAGTAGAAACCTCCGAAAATCGCGTACGGAATCGCGATATGGGAGCTCTCTTGTGGTGCGACATCCATCCCGGTTGCGGAAAACGTCGCTTCGAGCTCAGTGACATTAGCCGTATCACTGTGGAATGACTCTAGATCTAGCGTATGTATCACTGATGTAGGTCAGGGCAGAACTAGAAGATATAAGAGTAGTATTTTTCTGGTATTGGGTTCATCCTTGTCCTCACATGTTTTGTGGTCCTAGGAAAGGCGCCGCCAGGAGAGGAGCCAAGAGGGCTCCAACACCGAAACTCACATGATAGCTCTGCAGCATGGGACTCACGCCATCTCCCCACAGCTGGACGAGCCAGACATTACAGCCTGAGGATAGGGAAAACGTAGCGTTCGGAACTTCAGAGAGCCCGAGAGACATCTGACTCGAGTGATCGCTCAACTATTTCTATCATTCGGATTTATAGCGAAGCATGATTTTGTTGCAATGGATTTTTGCGGGTTTTTCCAAGAGCCCTCCAATACGAAACGATAGTAGAAACGAAATTGAATCACCGCTCACCGACCTCCAGAGCTCCAACGCTGAAGCCTGTCACGAATAGACCCACATGTGCTAGCCAGTAATGAGGTGCAGCATCAGGGACAATCGCTGTCCCCAGTCCGCCGAGAATGAGTGAAAATATTATGACGATTTTCGCGTTCACGTGCTGGTATACGAAGCCTGCACATAGGAGGGATCCTGGAATCGAGAAGTCTGTCGAGCTCGCATCGGCTGATGAAGAGTGAGCCTCCCTTTTTTTAAACGAAATTCCCACCTGCCAGAATTCCGGCGCTCCTCGTAACAGCCACTCTTGAAATATCCCCGAGATTCATGTCGTATATGCTCTGCAGGTCCTCATACGTGGCGCCGACCAACGCAGAGATCAAACCCTGATAGCACCGAAAAGGAAAATACAGGTGTTTTCTCTATCGTTTCCGACATCGAACTGAGCTGGATTCCATGGCAAGCATGTTAGCTGGATCGGAAGCGGCAAGCTCCGCGCCTCGGCTTATTCGAATCGCATTTGAATCTCATCGCGTTGCCGCCCCGAGCGTCGACAGCGGAAAAGTTTAGCTACAATATAATGCGGACATGAAACCGACGGAGCAGGGACGTTTGACTCACCAAAGCGAATAGACATCCGAATATCACACCCGTATGGGTTTTCCTCAGTCTCTTCGGAGAATCGGCTATGGAATCCATGCCCTTCCTTGCCGTCTCCTTGGATCTCCAGCGACTTCGTCCTACGTCCGAGCTCGAATGTTTGTGACGGCTCGTTCGAGGTCGCAGCTGCAGCGATGCTCCCGAGCAGAGAATAAATGGAATTAATCCGCACCGATCTCTTTCGAGATAAGTCCCATACAGAGCCTCGAGTGCGGAGGCAGACATTTTCGTCCGGTCGCATCTGGGAAACTCCGTGGTTAGACCTCGCGAGCAGAAGATCGCGTGCCTGAATTTCTCTTGCTCCTCATGATCCATGACCCTGACTCAGCAAACTTTGCTCATGAACTGATTGCGCTCTGGCCTTGAATACGAAAGTCTCGGCTGTGCAGTCTGCCGGGCAAGTGAATATTAGAATTCGGAAGATAATATGAATAGGGAGTGTAACACTGCAGCCCCGGCATTAAGTAGAGCGTCAAGGAACGTTCTTACATATGAGTGACTCGCATGATTGGGATTTTGCTTTTTCCTCCTCATTCATTCCCATGAATCGGAGCGATCAGCGGCTGTCCCTCTCGTGTGTGCTTCGCTCCTGAGTGGAGTCGATGACTCTCTATCCCCTCGAAAGCCATGTACCGCTTCAAAAATGAGGTTAGATGCAGCCCTGCCTCCTTCCCCGAATGCAAAGGACGTCCAGAGCGAGTCTGACGATCTCTGTTGGCCCCCGCGCTCGAGATCAGTGCTATCGGGAGGCTTCCTGGCGTCCGTCCCGTACGAATCATTGCCCCCGACTTCCTTTTTTCCCCTACCACGACTTATGCTAACGGCTATCTTCTCCCTGTTATTCGTAGCATTCGTAAGCTCAAATCAGCTGAAAGCTCTCCCGGAAGAGTTTATGATGTCTCCTTCCGGAACACGCGCTGCCAAGCTCCGCCCATACCTTGCAGCCCGGCTAGAACACTCGGAAATCACGATTCGAAATTCGAGAGGATGCAATATTGTCCTCACTCGCTCCCTCCGCGGCGGCATCTGGCGATTCAATTTATGCATGATCCCGAACCCTGTCGAGAGGAGTTTGCTAGAAATAATATCTCCTAATAACGGAAGAAACACGTGATCCCGCATCGTCGTGCTCTCTTTATTCACAGCCTCAATGGTTGCCGGTGATGTTTAGCGTACGAGAGAATGAGCACGAGTTCTTCTTCGAGGAAAAGAGTCCTTTTCACCTAGCTGAAGAATCACAGTAGAAGGTTGGGCTGAATCAGACGTTCTAATCATCCCGCGTATTACGAAGTCCTCATCCATGGAGGCGTGTCGGGCGCGGTCAGGCTGCGCTCAGTTCCCAGGCCAGTACCGTAATAGTAAGACGCCATGGAATCCCGCTGGATTAAGGCATCTTGTGGCTTATATCTCGACCCTCCCTACATAATGATGATCTTTGGAATAATGATCACCAAGAATTAACTCGGCGATTCTGCCCGCAATCATTCTTGTGGATCGAGAAGAGGCGTTCCAGAACTTCTCTGTATACTAACCAGCTTCTTAGTGCGATATTGTGGGGGTCGGCCAGTTGGCGAAGAACAATCAGAGCGCGGTGAGGGGCGCCACCGAAGGAGACGGAGCTCTGACAAGCGATTCAAATCACTATAAAGTTTATTGCTGCATATTCTTCCAACACATTCACATGATGAATATACAATATTCCGGGTCCGTCTGGTCGGAGCAGGCACGTGAGCCCCGACAGAACAGCACCGGGATAAAAATGCTCGAAAACAATATCGTACCTACAAGTTCAGCAGTCTCGAAGGCTCTCTGTGTCACAGAACTAAATCTCAATCTATCTATGAAAACCTTCGCCATTCATTCTCAAGGGCTCTCTTTTTTTAGACGAAACGCTTTTTCCGAATTCGTCGCTTCCTCAGAGTCCACTATCAATGGTCTTCCGTCATCTTTTTCGAAAATGGGCACTCTATTCTTCGTGGTGTAGAGCATAAGGCATAAAAGTCCGGCTTGCACAACAGCGCAGGCTGCGCCAGTCAGAGGCAATTGAGTCGTGGAGGTTTTCACTTGAGGGGCCACGAAAAACGGTGGCAGCATAGCCCCCAGGCAGGAGGCCACGAGAATAGCTGACACATGTGCAAATCTCAGATGAATGTAGCGAACTGCCCAAGTGAACGCGGTCGGATACAGCGCGGATAAGCCAACACCGATGACTCCCGAGGAGACCCACATGGTTGCCGGTGTTTGCATCGCGGGGATCAGGAGCAAAAGCATGATCCCAGATCCCACAGTCAAAATGCAGTGCGTCACAATGAGAATCGTTCCGGGTTTCAACCGGGTCGAAACTAGGATCGTTACGATCCGTCCCATCGTGTACGTGGCTGAGTAGAAGGAAAGCATGTAATTGCCTTGCTCTGCGTCTGTATCGAAGCGATACATGAGGAATTGTGGAATGAATCCGGACATTGTTCCTTCGTAGATCACGTCGAAGAATATATAGATACTCAGCAGAGCTATGACCGTCCATTCGAATCTCGTCTCGGCGTAATCCGTCGGCTGCTCGTCTTCGTCGGTACTGCTCTGACGCAGAGATGTGCGATCGATCATCATGAGGAACAGGATGACAAGGCCCACGGATGAGTAGAGTCCCCCGAAGAGGCCGAAAGGTATCGATACGTAAGAAGTTCCATTAACCTTCGGCTCCGTCCCTGACGTCGAAAGCGTCATGTCGCTTCCGTTGTGCGTTGCGTTGGTCGGCTCGCTGGAAAATCAAAGCGATGATGATGTGACTCATCGTGTCCGGCCTCTCTGGCGAACTCTATCCATCGCGAGACGTGGATCAGGTATCTGGCTGAGCAATCTGCCTAATTACTCGCTTACTCTACTCGCGGAGCTAAGAAAGACGCCGAAATCGCGGGGGCGAGAACCGCCCCAATCCCGAAACTGACATGGTAGCTCTGCATGATCGGGTTCACACCCTCCTCCCAGAGCTGCACGAGCCACACATTGCACCCTGGAAGTCGAAAAATGTGAGAAGGAGCGCCATTTCGCAACTCGACCTAATATCAGCTTCACGGGTCTTCCGACACGTCAGAGATCCTGTCCGTCGAGGAGAGAGCTGGAACTAACCGACTTCCAGAGCTCCGGTACTCCAGCCCGTCACGAACTGTCCTGCGTGCGCGATCCAATAATACGGCGCCACATCGGGCACTATGATGGTCCCTATTCCGCCGCCTATTAGCGCCACAACGAGAATAATTTTCGCGTTGACGTATTTGTAGATGAAGCTGCCACAGAGCAGAGAACCTGCGAGAGAGTTCCTTTGATTGATCATCTGTTCTAAAACGGTTCGAGTAATATCATCGTCTCGACATAAACTCAGAAATCGTCTGCGATGGCTCTCGTGGGGGATTTCCCTACCGATCAAGGTCCCGATGCTTCTCGTAATTATGATCGGGGAGGCTCCCTTCTTCCCCAGTCCGTAAATGGCTTCCAGATCGTCGAAGCTCGCTGGTATAACTGAGGATACCAGACCCTTCCCGGCATTGTGGAAAAAAAAGTCAGCACCACGTATCGTTGTGAGCAGCGAAATTAACAGACTACACCTCTGCCTAACAGCCTAATGAGTACAGGATTTAGGACACTACCGGACAGAATCCGAGCACGAAGGAGCAGTTCAAGGTCGCCTCGGGCTGTTGATAACTCACCAGAGCGAATATAGCGACGAAAATCACAGCAGTATGAGTTTTCCTCAGCTTTTTCGAAGAATTTGCCATGGCTCCTCTTTTCTTTCTCCAACGGTCTTCACTGCGAGATCGCGCGTGGGTCTGCGCTCTCGTGGAATGTCGTCGCTTGCGGAAACTCTCAACTGCTTCACCGCTTCAAAACGTTAGATTAGGCGGATTAGTTCCTCGACCAGTTTCTCTCCTTGGATAAATAATCTTTGGAGCATTGGGTGCGGATGATTACTCGATTTCGACTTATTTCGTAAGCATCATTGACGCTCGCGAAAGGATTCAATTTTACCTTTCCAGCAATGGATCGCACGATCTTTGTCTCTCCATTTCCACGCGTCTCAAACGGTCAAGAGCTCCGGAACAAGCGGACTTCGGAGCCAAATATTGCTATCACTCAACTTTCAACGAATTCGACATCACAAGCTGTTCGCAACATAATGTCCAGCGCTCGGAAAGATAACTCCCACCAGAACTCCGCCAGATGTTCGACCTTTCGCATTGGGCCAGATTTGGTGCAGGTGGCGCTTCTCGGAACTTGAGGACATCGATCCGCAACATTGTTTTGACCGGAAGCTTTGTTTGGGTGGCCTAGCCCTCCACGTGACAGGAGACACTTCCGTTAGGAGGGAACATTCGACGTTGGCGCTAGTGAGGTGTGTGCGGAGTTTCACAGAATATCTTTCTTCCTGCTGGATCCGCTCGGCTTTAAATTCAAGGCTATCTGCTGCCCTCCCCGGGAAAGGGGCGCCGCGAAGATCGAAAAGTCGAAGACAAGCTGACCAAGAGTTCAAGATCGATTTATTTGCCCCATGAATTTTACTTATATAGGTGTCACTCCGAAACAACCGAGAACGCAATCCAAAGGTTTATCTCGGGCTATGCTTTGCTCGAAAGCGGACCCCATGTAAGCGCTAAAGCATCCACATGTGTCCCGTCTGTCAACGGCGGGCGATCCAGGAGATTGGACCGCGGGCTGTCGTCTCTCTCTGCTCCACAATTACCTATACGGATCCCGACCCTGTGGTCTCCTGTCGGCATATGCCGTCGGCGTCAGGGAACTGAAATCAGTCGGGCGTGAACTCCTGAGCTCCCGTACGGCGGACCTCCCTGGAGGCCGGCTCGTCGATGGATGACTTGTGTCAGCTTCTGAACAGAGCTCTGATGATCGATTCTGATTAGATTAGATGATACTCGAGTGATATAGGGGTCGTCTGTGTTTCCTACGAAGCGCCGAGATCTAGGAAGAGTCACGATTATCGATAGGGCTCCGCGTGATGTCTCGTCATCTTCGACGAGCTCAAAATCATTCCCGCATCTTCCTAAAGATTGAGAATCATTGCCTCCAATCGAATAAATCCTAAACGAACCGGCAGGGAGACAACGGGAGTTTTACCCCGGCCGTGAATCATTTCTTTATCGCCCCGGTCGCGCATCCCGGAGGGCACTTCGTGCGCACCCCGAGTCATTTTTCTTTCTCCTGGCGCTGAGCGAAATCCGAGTCCGTGCCTTCAGTCGCGTTGATAATAAGTAGCGTCGCGTCCTCCTGCTCTAGTCGAGGTGTTCTGTTTCTGGTAGTGCGAAGCATAGCATATGAAACGCCGGCCATGGAAAGCGCACACATCGCGCAAACGATCGGCATTTGGATCGAAGAACCCATTACATAAGGAGCTACTATGTAAGCGGGCAACATTCCTCCTGTGCACGCAGAGGCGAGAGCGACTGTCATGTGAATGAATTTTAAATCGACGAAACGAATAGTCCAAGTGAAGGCAGTGGGATACAGCGAGGATAGGCCGAAGCCGATGATGCCGTTGCAGAGCCACAGCGTCAATTGGACTTGCCCGACAGGGGAAACCAGCATCAGCATAACGCCCGCTCCGAAAACCGTGATGCTTTGGGCCATGATCAGAATTGAGTTTGGTTTCAAGCGGGTCGACAGTATCATTGACACGATCCGTCCCGCCGTATACGATGCGGAGAAGACGGAGAGCAGGAAGTTGCCGTCTTTCTTGGTCATGTTCATTCGGTGAACTACGTAGGACGTCATCATTGAAGTCATGATCCCTTCGTAGATCATTTCGATGAAAATGTAAACGTATAGCAGCAGCACCACGGTCCATTCGAATCTTGAGCCGGAGCGCGCTGTCGCCTCCTCTATTCGTTCCTCGTGTTCTTGTCGCAGAACCGACCGATCGAAAAACATGAGAAACAGGACGATCAGACCCATGAATGAGTAGAGTCCCCCGAAAACGCCGAAAGGTATCGAGATATGTGAAGTTCCATTTACTGCTGACTCCGCTTCAGATGAGAAAAATGTCAGATCTTGTTGCTTCGCTGTCGAATTGAACTCAGCTCTGTAGAGTCGAAATTCAAGATGTTAGTTTTCCGAGGTGAATGGAGCATGTTTGACCTCACCCATCGTTCTCCTACCTTCGTTCCGGACCCAAGAAAGGTGTCGTCAACAGAGGCGCCACAAAAGCCCCGACTCCGAAACTCACGTGGTAGCTCTGCATCACGGTTTCGACGCCGTCTTCCCACAGCTGGACGAGCCAAACATTGCATCCTGGAAAGCATCGGAGGTTTCCTTCCAGTTTCGGACGAGCCCGAAATAACGACTCTGAACTCTTCCCTGGCTATTCAATCTCACCGACTTCCAGGGCGCCGGTACTGAATCCCGTCACGAACTGACCAGCGTGCGCTATCCAATAGTTTGGCGCAAAATCAGGTACGATCGCTGTACCAATCCCACCGCTTATAAGGACCAAGACGAGTATGATTTTGACGTTGACATACTTGTAGACGAAGCCTCCGCATATGAGAGAGGCTACGGAAGAAATCATCGTAGCGCTGCCCCGGAACGTATATCGATCGTTATCAATGGTATTCTGACCTTTTCATAAAGAACTCCGGAGGGGAATGCACCTACCGGCAAGAATACCGGCACTCCTAGTGACTAGAACTTGTGAGACTCCGTCGACGTCCTTTCCGTATATCTCTCCTAAATCTTCCAAAGTTCCTGATAGGACACCATCCATCGAACCCTTCATGGAAATGAGGGCAGAACTCTTGAGATTGCGTCGTCGATCGCTGCTGGCGACAGGAATATCGCAGATATGATGAGATTCACTTACGTAAGTGAATAAACAGCCAAGAATCACTGCTGTATGAGTTTTCCTGAATCTCTTCGTGGCGGCTGTCGTCCCCATCTTCTTATGTGTCTCGCCGACTCGTAACGAAAGAAAATGTTCGCCGCAAGCGAGCGGGAGGTCTCACTACCAAGCGAACTGCGGGTCCCGCTTAACTCAAAGCCAAAGGATTAGGGAAGGCAAGTCCAAAAGAAGCGTCTCTTCTGGGATAACCAGTGCTTAGAGCGCAGGTTGCGCGGCACGAGATTCGATCTCAAGTCGACAGAGGTTTCATGATGTTATTTTCCCGGGAATCGTCGAGCCTGGTCTACGGGGCTGTCTCCTTTGCTTCACTCGGTCCAGCACCACCTGCACGCAACCCAGCAGGAGCCGGCCTCGCGGGAATGCAAAATTTACCATAACCATTCGCGGCTTTCAGAAACCTGCCGTAATTTTTAATGCTCTTCCCCCGGAAAACTTCGGAAACTCTTCAGCTCCGATGGACTGACAATTAGATTTTCAGCTTGCCGCCGCAGTTACTCGCTGGAATTTCGTTCGGTTGTCATGATCCAGCTAGGACTGATCTATGTGTTGCGCCCCATGAATTCTGAAGGGTAATCAGAATCAGTAATCAGCGTCTCCACCCGCGAGCTCGAGCTATCCGCAAGAGCTCCGCATTCTGCTGCTCTTGCCTCAGTATCGGGACATTATTGGGGCTCTCGATCCAACTTCGAACACTCGAATCTGCGGAATGTCGCGTGAGGCGAAAAGATGCTCTGTCCAGGGAAGAAGACAAAACGTACAGGTCCAACGACCCGAAGACCAGAGGATTCGAGCCGCCAAGTGGGTCCGGCCAACTGTGCATTCCGACACTGCTCCCCTCGATCTTGGGTCCGTGCAGCACGCAGTGACTTCATTTTTTGATGACTGAACCTGGCTCCGCACGTCGCGCTCCCGCCGCTCATTTGAATGAGTAGTTTGTTTTCTTTCGCCTGACTGATCGACTCCGATGGAGTAGGGAGGAGTCCTTCACTGTAAAATTTTATTTCGATTCACTCTTGCTTCTCCATGATGCATCGGCCTCGTCGGTTTTCATCCCCATCCGGAATGATTCCTTCGATCCAAGGAACGCGTTCTTGTGAATTTCTCTCGTGATCATGGCCTGATAGCTATAATTCTGATTCCTGATTTCGGTCGATTTTTGCCGTCTTCCCGATGATTCCACGGGAATTCAAGCTCAGAATACGAAGCGGAGGGAGTCGTTTCAGACCCCGGCTCGGCGGGGCAATGTCATCAAGAGCTTTGTGGGACGACGAGGTGTGAAGTAGGATGAATAGTTTTCGTGAAGAGTCATCCTCGAGTCGCTGAGCCGAGACTCGTTCATTCCATCGATCAGAAGCGTATGCATTCGACCAAACGAGCCGAGCCCCCCGGAGTTTCCCGCGCCAAGCGAGACTGGAATGGATCCCATATAGACGCTGAAAGACAGCTGCGTTTCCCGCATCCGATCGACGGATGATTTGCGAACGCCCTGCCTCTGTTGTTGTCTCCCGAAGTCCAAGAAAACCGTATATATTTCTAAGGTTTCGTTGATCTCCCGAACTTATCGCAGGTCTCCGGAATGTCTCGGCAGGCGAACAAGGTCCCGGACAGCAAAAAAGTCGTGAGTGTCCGATTCAGATGAATTCCCCGACTCGGAGCCGGCGATATCCTTTTGACAGCTCCGAACGGATCGACCGCTCGGCCCTTTTCCTGTCTCTTCCGCGTTCATCGGCTTTTCGAAGAGCGGAGTTTCGGAGAGTACTACTCGATTCCGGAAATTAGTGGGTAGCTGAGTTCTTGCCGTCTTGCAGAATAATGAATTGTTCACGCTCACCTATGGAGCGTTGGTTGCCCAGATGATGAAGGACCTGGAAAACTGTGAAGAGGTTTGTTGGTTTCTCCGAATTTCGGAGGGATAAATCTTGTGTATGATTCGATATTCTCATTACCCATCGCGTTTCGCTAGGTCAACAAGCATCTGGACCGCATGGGCTTCAATATCGGACAGAGACTCATCGAGGATTTTCTCGCTCGAACCAACTCCCCACGTTGCGTTGATCTTCGGGACACAGCAGAAAAGATCCAGGTGAATCGATCGATCCCCGAACCGATCTCGGAATACTTGTGCCACTGAACATATTTAGGTTTCAGCGATGAGGTTCACTGAATGCCGTGCCATTGATCAACAGAGCGCCTTCAAGATGTATCTGACGATCTCACCATCGATTACGAATTGGAGCACATCGGGGGACGAGTTTTCCCTGATTTTCGATTCGAACCCTCTGACCGAGTTCGTCGAGTTACCAGACACTCATAATACGTTGAAGTACTGCAGTATAATTCCCGGCATCATCCGAGGCGCTCTTGAAATGGTAGCGTTTGATTTGAATGTCGGATTGGCGTGTTTGAGATTCGCGGTGGTATCGGAGGGGTCACCCCCCAAGTATTAGAAGAGCATGCTGGCGAGACAGCTCCAGGGATGCTCGCCGACAATCTTTGGCCAATGCGATTCTCACATTATTATTGACCAGAGCTTGTTATGCTCTCCAATAATAGGACGCGTTGATTCCCGGCGATTAATATCTCTTATCCGCCATAGGTCCAGATGGAAGTCCGCTGTTGGTTCGTCCACGACTCACTGCGGGGGGATGCGTCGACGGAACTCCGTATAAGAATGGTGAAAAAAATCGAGGATGCCATACCTGTTGGAGAGAACTAGTCGAGGCCGCTTATTTAAGTCACTCTTATTGAATGCTTCCCTTGGATAACCCAGTTCGTTTGGGGAAGAATTGAGCGAAGGACGAAGTCTCCTGAGAGTACCCCGCGTGCGGTATGCAATAAAAACCCGTGTATATACTCGAATGAAGCTCAACCTTGTGTCACTGATGCGTTCCATCAGCGAGGGGATCAGAAGCGAAGGAAATGTATAATGGGTGGCTCTTCTGCTGAAGTGACTCGGACTGAATTCGGAGTCTTGATCCTAGGCTCAATCTGCTCTCGGGATGAGATCCGAGAGGTTGAACTGCTCGCGAGGATCGAGACAGAAATCAATGAGGTACCTATGCCCATGGGACGAATCCATTCCTCCCTACCGGAAACCCTTCTTCTTGCGCCGTACTGAACTCATCCTCTCCGTTTGACAACGAGGAAAGCAATAGACGATATCCGAATCGTGCCGAGAATTCTTTCAGAGCTGGTCTTTTGATCTATTATTCAGATGAGCCCCATACTTCTTCTTGTGGGTTGAGTGTGAGGCGGAGGTCCGTCATGCTCATGCGTGATGTTTCTTAAGCAGATCGAGGCAAAACTGATTGAATGTGAAGCTCCAGAAGATTTATTTCCCACCGATTCACTTCGCTTGACTGTTAGCCATTATCTGTTCTACACTTTCAAAGGTGATTTTTTCCAGAATGGACTTTGTTTTGATGCTCTCTTCATGATTAGCGATGAAGATGTCGTTCACGCCTTGAGCCTTCCATGAGAAACGATCCATCCAAGGCTTGAGGTCTTTCTCTTTGACGTTGAGGAATTCACAGAGCATCCGCTTGTCGATGCGCTGGTAGGTTTTGTTGACGACGATTCCTATGTAGTTTCTGATGGAATCTTCAAAACCGAGAACTCCTTCGACTTCTCGCAAGTCGCTCGACAGCGACGTCCAAACTTTTTGAAATTCACACTGCTCCAGATCGCTGCAATTCGAGCATTCATAGTGAGTTTAATCCCTTCCACGGGATTCGCGAATCACCAGGTTACTATTATTTCCCTGCATTCTGCCGAGGAATATACCTGTGTAGCTGCATGATTGTTTCAAGAGTTCGATCTCCAAAATGGGAGAGATCGATCAGACACTTGCACAGCACGAAGTCCGTGTGCGGCAAGTTTGTCAATGCTTTCAGGAGGATTTGAGCGATGACCTGCAACGGGAATATCCGATGAGCGAATCGATTTTCTCGGGGGAATATTCCCAGCTGGTGAGGAATTGTATTCATCTACACATAAGATTGAGTAGTGATAGAATCGGCGCCGATGTCGGAGAATCCCCATTACCTCGGTCCGGACGGATCCGGGATTGAACTGATACAATTTTAGAACCGCTAGATTAGCTTCCTGGTCGTAGAAGTTGGCCTTGCATTGCAGGTCGACATAGTTCTCCAGAAAAGGAATGCTCTGTGGGTTATATCTGGAAGAAATGAATACGGATTCAGATGCTAGGACACTCCTCGTTCGAGATTCGACACGGTTTCCGGGAAGCAATCATTGACTTCTCGAAATCTCACACGGAGCAAAGACAATGCATGACAGCTTCGAACTGCCTGTGACCAGCTCCACGTGAACGCATGCAGGGGAACTGCCGAACGATCTAGCCATGGCGCAGAGGATGTCTTTCGGAGATCATGCGAAATCGGTCTAGAGACCTGCGATTCATCGAAATCATACGAGTCGAGTTTACGCTCCGTCAAGAAATGGGGAAGCCGGCCATATTGCGATTACCTGTCTAATTCTTGAAGCATTTCCGCGACGCGGACTCTGGCTTTCTGGACCTGTTCACTAGGCGGAGCCTGGACGGTACCAAAGAGCGACATTTCGTCGGAAATTCCAGGAATCAAGGCGAAAACCCAAGAAGTTCTACCGGCGACGTTCTAAACGTGTAGATGTCGTATGCTCTTCTGCTCGAGTTGTGATTGTTTTGCCAGCCGCCGCTGCTGCCGGCGCAGCGAGCGAAACGCAGACGAATTTGACGGAGAGGAGGATGTCGGGGAGAGGCCGGGGGACCTCGCGCAAATCGAAACCAGACCCGTGCGCCCGTGACCAGGATCGTCGAAGACGTCGAGCAATGCGAATGATGCCGGTAGCTCGAAAACTCAACCTTCTTGAGCGCGGTCCTACTTCGTTGCGCAGGTCGTTCCGATCGATCACTGCGACTTCATCAAGAGGGCATTATTTTCCGCTGTCCCTCGGCGTGAACGAGGACAGCCTCAATGTTTGTCATAGTCTCGGTGGAGATCTGTGCTCTCATGAGACCGAAGCCCCGCATCGATCCGCAGCCACCCTTGGGTATCGTACTTCCCCACGAAACCCAAGGAATCCGGAGGGGAGTGATCCAGGTTCATCCAAATTCACTTGCGATTAGGCGATATGCTCGGGGGAACTTCCAACGGAAAGATCAAATACAGATATCGGCTAGGAGGAGCTCCGTGCCAATTATCATGAAGGAATTGTGGACAACTGCTCCGAGACGCCGAGACACTTGGCACTGACTGAGTGAGTAGGAGGACGCGAGCTCGACGTGCGCTTGTAGTGGAAGCAACAGCCCGATCGATCTCAAGAGTTCGGCATGGATCATCACCATCAGCATCTAGAGCCATTCGCCCGCGAATTACCCACGCTGGAAATTCTTCCCGCGTTCCTCGTCCCCAAAATTTCTGAGGAATATTTAGTGTTTTCGAGAGACTTCCACCAACATACATGTCCGCAATGCATCTGAGATCGCGTTGACTTCTGAGTCTGCCGGTTAGCGCGCCCTCTTCGGCGCCAAAAAAATTCGTCCTTGAGAATTGCGTTCAGCGAAATAGACTCTCTTCTCAGCCTCTGTAGGGTCTCCCTTGCAAGGGAAATCCCAGTATACGACGCGGAGCCACGCTCCCGTCCTTGGAGAGCAATTCGCGCCGACCTCCCCCTTAAAGAAGCTCTTCGGGCCGCCTCGAGGAGCGAGTCAGCGCGGGAGCGCGCGCAGACTCTCCCAGGCGAATGGACGCATCGAATGTTTTGAGAGAGACATTCGTCAGGCAGACAACCTCTCTATTCAAGCGGCAAGCAACTGTGAGCACGTTGAGCGTTTCACGCGGCGCAAAACCCGCTCGATCTGAATTGTGTAGTGGTTCATCCGAAGGGCAACGTCACGTTTGCTCTCGCTGTTTCGTTTGACAAACTTGAGTTGCATCGCAGTCGCCATGGACGAACAGGCAGCTCAACTGCTCAGGGACCTGATGTCCGTAGACAACGACACTCGGCAGAATGCTGAACAGAGGTTTGATGCCATCCAACCCCCACAGAAACTCATGTTCCTGTTAACCTGTTACACCCTGCAAGGCCAGACAGATGACCAGCGTCTTTTGTCGATGATCCTCTTGCGGCGATTGATCACGTCGGAGTTCGACGGATTCTATCCTGTATTACCTGTCGAACACCAGCAGCAGCTGAAAGATCATCTCCTCAAGAGCATCGAAGCCGAAACGACGCCTCAAGTTGGTTTGAGGATCTCTGAATGCACGGCCGAACTGGCTCGAAACCTCGCCGATGACGCGTTGAACCTGCCCTGGCCGGAACTTCAGGAACGCATTCTAATGTGGGCAGGCAGTCAGAACGACCACTGGCGTAGGGCGGGTTTGCACATTCTCGCCGATTTTCCCGGTGTCCTCGGGCCGCAGAGCGTGGAAATCGTCAGGACCGTCCTGTGCGCAACCCTGCAACCGGTCAACTCCCCGGTAATCCGGGTCGCAGCTGCCACCGCGGTGAGCGCGTTTCTTCGCTCGGATATCATGGACACTCACGAGAAGCAGATGAGGTTCGCCGATCTCATTCCTCTGATGGTTCAACTCCTCGCCGATCAAAAAGAAGAGACCGACGACACGGTCATCGAAGGCCTGACCGAGCTGGCGGAGCAGTGTCCGAAAATCCTGAGATCTCACCTGAATCACCTGTTGGATATCTGCCTCGCCTACATACAAGACCCGGCGACTCTCGAGAGCCGACGAAATCTCTGCCTCGAATTAATCGTGACGCTTTGCGAGTCCGCCCCGGCAATGATGAGAAAGTTCGCTGTGCGTCACATCAACGCTCTGCTGCCGCTAATTCTCATGATGATGGCCGATATTGAAGAAGACAGGGCCTGGGACTCGAACGATAACTGTGACAGGGACGAGGTGGAGAACGATTGTCCCGCCGTCGTCGGGGAGAGTTCCCTGGACCGTCTGGCTATCGCTCTCGGCGGTAAAGCTTTACTCTCGTCGGCTATGGAAGTTCTTGCGCCGTTGCTCAACTCGCCCGACTGGAAACAGCGGCACGCGGCGCTCATGGCGATCTCGAGTATGGGTGAAGGGTGCAAGAAGCAGATGACAGGCATGCTCGACCAGATCGTTGAAGGGGTCCTTAGGTTTTTGGGCGATTCACATCCCAGAGTCCGATACGCGGCCATCAACTGTCTCGGACAGATGGCAAACGATTTCGCTCCAACTTTCGAGAAGAAGTTCCACTCCACGGTATTGCCTCGTCTTTGTGATATAATGGCCGATAACCGTCATCCGCGCGTTCAGGCTCATGCCGGAGCGGCGTTGGTGAATTTCTTCGAGGAGTGCCCTAAAAAAATTATCGTCCAATATCTCAGCGTCATCGCTCCGCCGCTGGCTGGTATTCTGCAGACGCAGATGAACGAACTGGCGACTCGCGGACTCAAGTTGGTGCTCGAACAAGTGCTGGTCACTACGTCGGCGCTAGCCGACAGCTGCGGAAAAGACTTCATTCCCTTCTACGACAGCTTTGTACCTCAATTAAAATACATCATCGAAAGAGCTAATACGAAAGAACTCGAGCTTCTGCGTGGTAAGGCCATCGAATGCGTGTCCCTGATCGGTGTCGCCGTGGGAAAAGAAAGATTCACGGGCGACGCCGCCGGGGTCATGGAGCTACTGCTTGCCAACGAAATCCACCTTCACCTAGCGGAAGACTCGCCACTTCTCTCGTACATGATCTACGCGTGGATGCGACTCTGCAAAATCCTCGGACGGGAATTTGAGAGATACCTTCCTAGCGTCATGCCCTCGGTTATGAAAACCGCGGCTCTTAGCCCTCAGATATCACTTATCGACGAAGATGAAGTACCGGACGAAGCTGACAACGAGGAATGGACATACGTCTCGTTCGATGACCACCGATCCGTCGGAATCCGAACAACAGGTCTGGAAGAGAAGGCGACGGCATTTGAAATGCTCGTTTGTTTCTCCAAAGAACTCAAGGAGAGCTTCGGTCCTTATGTTTCGGAGGTCTTGAAGGTAATTATCCCAGTTGGATTCCCCCCCGGAGTTTTCTGCGGGATCGGTATTCATCCGGAGCTCATGGAGTTCCGGCATCGGCTCGATGTCCTGTCTCGAGCCTTCCGTCCGGAGCAGCGTATTTTCCGTAGCCTGATCGATCCCTCCTTTCCAGGTTGCTGTCCCCACTCTGAAGTTCTGTTTCCATGAAGGAGTGCGTATCTCCGCCGCGAACTGCATACCGGATCTCCTGGCGTGCGCGAAAGCAAACAACTTGAACCTCCCAGAGCTCTGGCAATTCACCCTGCCGGAAATCCTCAGCGCACTCGACGAGGAGACTGAAATGGAAGTCTTGCCCGAAGTCGTTGACTGCCTAGCGCGTTGTGTCGACGTGGTCGGAGCTCCGGGTCTCAATCAGGAGCAAGTCAGAAAAATGATGTCGATTGTCACCAAGTGCCTGAACCAACATTTCGAACGCGATCTCGAGCGCCAGAAGCAAAGGCGCGACGAGGACTACGATGAGGACGTCGAGGAAAAGCTCCAGGAGCAGGGCGAAGAAGACGGCTACCTCTTGACGCGGGTCGAAGAACTCAACCGACAATTGTGTAAGGCGCTCGGAGCGGAAATGATTCCTTTCCTCGATGAAGTTGTTCCGCTTTTCGCTCGTCTACTTCAGAACGATCGGCCGGTGGCCGACATACAATGGGCATTGTGTTTCTACGATGACATAACCGAGTGCGCCGGAGCAGTGGCGGCGATTCGGTACAAGGATGTCTTCGCCGACAAACTCATCGAGTACATCGTCCATCCGTCACCAGAGATCCGCCAGGCTTCCGCGTACGGTTGCGGAATCCTCGCCAAATTCGGAGATGAACAGCTGGTTTGTTACCTGAGTCGAGCGATCCCGAGTCTTTGCCAGGTGATCAGTCAACCGGACAGTCGGTGTGAGAAAAACGTTGCGGCCACCGAAAACGCGATTTCTGCAATCGCGAAAATCATCATGTATCGACCCTCCGCCGTGCAGAACATGGACGAACTGATCAGGATGTTCGCCCAATGGCTCCCGATCACCGAAGACGACGAGGAGATCGAACCCTGCCTCGAGTTGGTTTGCGGACTCATGGAGCAGAACCACGCCGCGTTGCTCGGTGTCAACAACGAGAACGTACCCCGACTGATCGCCTTTATGCTCGACGCTATTCGTAACAACTCGATCGAGAGGACTTCGCCCATTGGTCAGAGGTGCATTGCTCTTGTGCAAGTCATTCAGAACAGCCGAGAAATTTTCGAGGCTTGCGCCAGAAGTCTTAGCGATCAGCAGAGAGAGGTGTTGCGCAGCCTTCTTCCCCAGTGATGAGGCTCCAGAGACTGGAAAACTGCGGTGCGAGAACACGGAGAACGGGCGATCCTACCCAGAAAGACAGTGCGAAAGGCTTCTCGTGATCTGAGTTTTGGGGCCGCGGCTGGTGTCGCGCAGAATCACGGAGAATGTTATAGATAAATCTATTTCAATAAAGAAGTACAAGGGGAAACTGTACGTCAAGAAATACAAACTTGAGTTGGAGGAAGAAGGAACCGTACCGCTTGTTGTTGATAGACGGCTGGGTTCTCATGGCCAAGCGTTGTATATTAAACATTTCTGTATGCATCTACGAAACTGGGATGGAGTTGTTCTACCAAACATAAATAGGGAGACCCACCTTCGGACTCCACTCTTGATCTACGTTGTCTAGGACAGAATCGAGCTGATCGTCAATCTCTCGGCCCGCCGGGACGATCTGGCTTCCTTCTAATCACGGGTGTCGAATCTTTGAGAGAGCATCAAACTTCGCCATGGGAGTTCTGTTAATCGGCCATGATATTAAGTGGAGAGATGTCTGTTGGAACCATGAGACTAAATTCGAATCGTTGCAAAAATAAATCAACTTGATCTTGGCTCTGTGTCGATCTATTTCTTCGCTTGACGAGCTCCACGATTCCTGATCGGAGCAAAACGGATACTGACGGGGGTTGTCCCGCGCGGCGGAGGGTGCGCCAAAGTTCCTTGTAAATCGAAGCCAGCCGAATCGTCGCGGGCTCGTTTCTTTGGCGGCTCTCGCCTTTCTAGGCGGCCGTTCCAGGGGTCGTCGAGAGGGGTGGTTTCAATTAGATGCGTCGATTAAAGATTGAGGGGTTCTCGGAGAGCGGACGTCTAGGAAGGGGCGATATCCGGGCTAGCTGAGGCAATGGGTCCGCCGCTTAAGCAAAACAACTGAACCAAAGTTATCCTGCGGCATAACGCCGCCTCCTCACGTGTTGGTGCCCTCGTTTCGGAAACAGAGTCGATCGCATTCGAAAAGTTGCCGGTTTTCGATCGATTGCTTCCCCGTTATAAACACAAATGAGTCTTCCTCTTGAGCGTCAATGATTCTTTATTCCCTCTGAGATCGGCGAGCCGGTAAGTGCATCGCGCAGGGTGACATTGTGGTCCCCTATCGTGCTGTCCGGCTCTAAGCTCGCCGGGACCCCGGATTTCGGTTCTCGAGCAAGTGGAAACGCGCACCGCCGCGTTCACTTCAATCTACGGTGAGCTCATGAACCTAAGTATTTTCAGGAAAGGAAACGTCGGATGAGTTGTGGTCATTCTGAGGGAGTTCATCAGGTCGAAAGACGGCTTGAAAGGCGAGATAAAGTTTCGTCAGCGTCATGAAATCTTAATTTTTCTGGTCTGCAGGAATGCGTCTCGTTCGCTTCGTTGAGTTTGGCAAGAAGATAATTTGTGTTGGTCGCAACTATGCAGCTCACGCCAAAGAACTTGGGAACGCGATACCGGATGAGAAACCGTTAGTCTTCCTCAAGCCGGCTACGGCGTATATCACTCAGGGAAAATTCATTCGACTGCCCCCGGATTGCAACGAGCTGCACCACGAAGTCGAGCTGGGAGTCGTGATCGAGAAACCCGGCAAGAATATCACTCTGTCGAGCGCGCTGGACCATGTCGGTGGTTACGTCTTGTGTCTGGACATGACGGCGCGCGACATACAGACAAAACTCAAAGCCAAAGGAGCTCCCTGGGAGCTTGCCAAAGCCTTCGATACCTCGTGTCCCGTCGGCGACTTCATACCCAAAGACAGAGTGCCGGATCCCGACAATATTCAATTGTGGTGCAAAGTGAATGGCCAACCGCGTCAGGACGGTGAGAGAGGCAGTTCATGAGATCTCCCGTCGAAACGGAGAACTTCTGTACAGAGCGAGAATCGATGATTTCCCCCCAGAGCACCGGGCTTGTTCACATGGGCTAATGCTAAATTTCCTCTTGCAGGCAACACAAAAGACATGATCTTCCGCGTACCGCAAATTCTCTCGTACATAAGCCAGTACTTCACCCTTGAAGCGGGAGATTTGATTCTCACTGGAACCCCGGAAGGAGTGGGCCCTGTAAAGCCCGGAGATACTATCGAGGCAGGGATGTCAGTGAATGACTTCAAAATGACTTTCAAGGTGCAATAGACCCTGCCCCCGAGGATGGATGATGTGGTTGAAACTTCTCCCATCGACGGAGGGTACGGGAGCGACCCAAAGAATGCCTTTCCCGACGACGACGAGCCTTCGAATAAGAACACAGATTTTCACGACTCTGAAGCATTGTGCGATCTCTTTTTTCTTCATAGGTGCATGTGATTGACCGCTAGGTACAGGACGTATCCCACGTCGAGGACTCGTGAGGATGGTTGGTGTAAATGAAAAAGTCCCCCGTGGCAAATTCTTAACAATGACAAGGAATCTTTTTCCTCGCTGCGGCCGCGCGGCTCGGAGTGACTTCACAATTATTTCTCATTGCCGAGCCCGGAACTCGCGGATCGGGATCGGGATCACTTTGGCGGAATAGCTACGGGACATTCTCTTTCTTAGAGAAAAATAGTGTAGATGGCACCCAATATACTTTGGCGGAAGGTTCCCACTTCGGAATCGGGAGAACGGTATTCTCGACTTGTGGAAGGCACTCTGTTAGAAAAACTGCGATTTCGATGAAAAAAATATATACAGGACGCGCGATGACGTCAGAGAAGAACGAGTGCAGCCATTCATCTGAGATTCCCTCGGACATCGAACAAAATTTCCTCGTCCTCGTCATCTCGAGCCAATGGCTGCACCTCTTGATCTCTTCGGCCACGGCGGATCTTCAAGCCGTAGCGATCTGCCCGTACCACGTCGTATCGCATTCTGGAAATGATGGATATCTCTGGTCAGCGCGGTCAGTCGTCCCAGCGAATTACTATCGAGCTATCGTAGGGAGAGCTATCGACCATCTCCTTTCGAGTACAAGGAACTCACCTGAAATTTTTCACGACCAGGTAGGCCATGGCGGCTATAGTTATAAGAACTGCCGCGTAAACCGCGACCGACAATGAGCTGGATGGTTCAGGCATATCGCCACCGCTGGGTTTCAGAGCTTGATGCGCTTGTGGAGCCACTGTGGAAGCCAGAGGCGTGCTATCGATCGCTTCATTATACCGCGGTGATACGCTCCCTGTTAGTTGCGTGGCAGGGCTAGTAGAGATTGTACTCTCGCTGCCCGTAATGGAAATCGCACTGACTGCCAGAACGGCAGACATCAAAGTCGCTGCCACTATTTCGAACGATAACATCGTAAATGATTGAAATGTCTGGAGAGCGAGGATCTGCAAGAAAGATTCAGTTAGACTCATCGAGCGAGGTCTATGAATTCTGGCACCTACGTACTGTGGGTATTCGCTGCTGTAATTCATTTTCTTATTATAGTATCGAGGTGCAGCATTACATCTCGAAATGAGACTCTATGTCTGGACTTAGTCTCGAGTTTTCAGTACCGAATATTCAAAAATTGGCAACAAGCTATGCAATCGTAGATTATCGTTTCGCGGTTTCTGCATGATTAATTACGTACTGCAGTATTGAGGATGGAGCGATTCCGTCGTCTTCCTCGCGAGGCAGGTGTTCTCCTATTCTAGACCCGAAGAATTTCGCTTGCGGAATCGGGCACTATGCAAAGGATGCTTGGACAATGATAAACTCACAAAAATGTTTCCTAGAAACACTTCTTCCCGAATCGCGATGAGTGCAGTTGATCGACCTGCACACTACACCGGCCGACACACGCAGCGAGAAAGCTCCACAAAGCCACCACACAGCACCACAGTCAGCTGATGCTCTGCGACAGTGTTGATCTGTGTGCTTTTCGGAATGCTTGCTGTCATGCTTACCAATATTTATTCAGCGCATTCATAGATCCGTGGCTCGAACGATCGCCCAGGGAGCTATGGAGGTGAGTGACATCTGATCCCATAACGCACTTCTCCGGCCTCTTCTCGCGGGAGAGCGCATGCTATCGGGAAACGGGTACTATCCCTGGTGCGCAAACCGAGGGAGGATCTGCCTAAATGTTCCTCTCGTCGAGTCTTATCATCGATTCGAGGGGTCTGGGGTCTGGCGGTTCTCTCTGAGACATCCGTCTAATTGCAGGGAGTCCCGGAGAAGATCGACGTGCTTCTGAAACCCACCGGCGATGCGCCGATTCTCAAGATACAGAAGTTCTCCGTACGCTCAGAGTTGCCGGTATCTGATCTCGTGCTCAACATAAAGAAGCTGGCTAAGCTACAGCCGTCAGAGTCAGTGTTCCTCTACGTGAACCAAGCTTTCGCTCCGGCTCTAGACGAAAAGTTGGCAACTCTCTTCGAAGTTTACGCCACCAATGGCAAACTCGTCTTGCATTACGCGACGACTGAGGCCTGGGGATGAGAGACAGGATTTGGGAGCAGCGGCGAGACTTGTGAAAATACTATCGATGTACAGTATATTTTTGTAATAAATGCCGATATATAATTATGAGAATCGAATCATGCTCCGACTCGCTCCCCATGCTGTGGACGAAACATAATGCGGAAGACTCAATTTATTGGCTCTAGAGTTCCCTCCGGAGCCCTGCTGGATTCTAACTCTCACATTCCATTTCCTTCGAATCAGACGCGGTGTTCGTATGATGCCTCCATCATCCGTCGAATCGGCATATAGGAGAAGAGGAAATATTGAACATGGAAGACTGAGGCATGTTTGTACATATCTATGCACCGCCTCTACCTCCGCAATACTCTCACATCATGCACAAAAGGTTTATTTCTCGCGCATCCGATTTTTGAGTCTTCTGGTCCAATTTCTCATCTTGATTATCGTCATTCAAGGCTATCGCCTGGCGGTAGTTTTCCTCTAATCCACCTCCGTGACAACAGGTGGCCGCTGTGCTTCCAAAAATATCTGTTTCCGATTGGGGTAGGAGAGCTCTCTGATTCCGTCGAAGCACGGGATGAAAATCGCCGCCAACGCCGACCGTGGGTGCGTCATATCGGTCAGAACGAACCACTCGTTGGTGGCCGGGCTGTAGCATTCGCAGAACTTGGTCGTCGCTTGTCCTGTATAACCACCGAACACGTAGATATACGAAGCGCATACGACCGTCGCAAAGTTACTCCTGGCTGTCAACATGGGCGCAATCGGAGACCACTTATCGGTCGCTGGATCGTAGACTTCGCACGAACTGAGCCTCGAGCTGCCGCTCGATCCACCGAGCGCGTATATCTTCCCGTCGAGAGCTACTGCGCTCACGCCAGAACGTACGGTACTCATGCTCGAGACGAGAGTCCACGAATTACTCGCCGGATCATAACACTCCACAGTGCGATTGCACATGGTGCCGGTGAAGCCGCCTATCGCGTAGATTTTGCCATTGACAACCGCGCACGCGGCGTCGCTCCGCTGGTATTCCATGGGTCGGATCAGGGACCACTGGAAACGGGAGAGAAAACTGTGACTACCATCGTCTCCGATTCTCATTCAGCATGAGAGCCCGCGCGTTTTAGCCCTGCGTCGCTCGAGTCCCCACCCACCTGGTTTGTTTCCAAGTTCAGAACCTCCGCCGTATTCAGCCTGAAGCGACCGTTGTAGCCCCCGATGGCGTAAATTTTTCCGTCGACGACCGCTACGCTCACATAACATCTCTCGACGTTCATAGGTGTCACGTGCGACCATGTTCGTGTGGACAGGCTGAATTTTCTGCAATTCTTGTGATAGTGGTTGTCCCCGTGGAAGCCACCGATGACGTAAATTTCGTTATTGACCAAAGCCATTTTGTGGTATGCTCTCAACTCGTTGGTGTCGGCCAGTTGGGCTGTTGATGGAATACATAGAGGTTATCGGAGGGAGCGCGACGAGACTGGATGTCTTTCCATTGTGGTCTGGCCTTGTCCAATCTCGGTATATGTCATGGCTCGAGCTTCGTAGGATTTGGGGTCAAACGATCTTACGGAAAGTGGTGTGTCTGTCAGCGCTGGGGTCGTAGACTTCGAACAGATTTGAAGGTGCCTGGAGCCAGCCCCCCAGGATGAGGATCACCCCATGAGGCTCCCTCGGGATCGTGGACTTCACTGGCAGCTCCTCTCCGAGGTCGTGGAGGAATGGCGTCCTCGTGTTCATGGAAGAGTGCACTCTCATCAAGTAAAACTTGCACCTATCGTGACCGCTCAGGAGCGAACTAGACGAGAGTAAATCGCGAACCGCGGCTTCATCGATAAGATAAACGCGTATCGTCTGCAGGAGCTCGAATATATGGGAGTGCCTTGTTTCGAAGTCATGCCGTATCCATCGCTCGCAGATTGACCACAATTTATCCTCGTCTCGGACGTTCAAACAATCGTCGTTCAAAAACGTGTGAAACTCCTCGAAGCTCGTCTCGTATAGGTCGTCGCTCTCAGTGAGTTTGCAGAAGTCCTCCATGATCCGGTGGTAGAGATGGTCTCGCATTCCGTTCATCAAATACTTATCGCAGAGCCGCCAGAGATCTAGCACATTGGGGCCATTCGACTTCTCTTTCATGAACTTGTGGCAGACTGGAAACGAAAACTTTTCGGTCAAACGCCCAATTTCAGCAACGAATTCAGAGCTTGATGATGAGCTAATTCTCGCGGGGAACGACATGAATCAGATTTCCAAGAATGATCCGAATTCCGTGCCTTGAACGAGAGACTCCATTCCGAGGAAGTCCGCAGCTTCGAGCACGTCCTGAATGTTCCGCAGGCTCAGCTCGACTTCCCCCTTGTTGGCGAACGTAACAGCTGCTTCGACTTGCTCCATCTTGAGCATGGGAACTCTCACCTGCCTGGGGCGATCGAAGATTGTACATTGAAGTCAACAGATGGAGCGGTGGCATGACAATGATAATAGGGGAGAAGGGCTCGCCAGCATTGGCCGAGAACGGCTGTGGAAACCACGGGATCCCTCGGGATGCTCCGAGCCCGGAAATCCGTCTGACGACGCTGACGTCGAACCGCTCTCGGAAACGCCGGGACTTTTCAGGAGGCGAAATGCGCGAAACACTTACTTTCGTATGGACTCGTTGTTGCGAACCTTCCCGAACTCGAAGAAGGCCACTCTGAAGTACGCAGAAGTGGCTGCCAGCGGGAGCCGATGCGCTTTAATCTTCGATCCATCGTCACAAACAAGGACCGTGTCAGGAGAGGAGTTGGCAACGCACGTTTCGAGACATTCGACACCACCGCCAGGAATAACCATTGACTTCGTTTTTGTCCACATAATTTGGAATCATCAATATGGGAAGAGCATCCGGAGTTCATGCTTGAGCTGAGTCTCAGTCCCATCCCATCGGTCCCTCCCCTTTGAGACAGATCGTTCTTTCTGCAGCGATGCGGGCGGACCTTCTCGTGACGGACTGAACAGCGTCTTTCCCATTTTCGTCACCCTCTCGAGTCTCGAGGAAAGATGTTGAACGCTCGGGAAAGGCAATCGTAGGATACTCGAACGTCCCATGGGAAGTCTTTCTTGCAGAATCAAGGTCACGTTTGTCGTCTGTGGGGCTCCACGTCTGTGCTCCTGCGTCATCTCGCACGCCGTTCCCACTGGACGGAAACTCTGTCCGAGTGCTTCCGACGCTCGCCTTAGTTGACCGTCTCGACCGCGCTGGCAGCTTCTGCGGGATCTTACGCCCTGGGGGTGTTTAGACTCCAGGGTGTTCCTGCATGAATGTTCTTCGGACAGTGTGCACGGAGATTTCACTTGAACTTCCGGCAATTCAACGGCGAAGCAGGAACGGAGATTCGCTCCCGAGAGCAGGTGGATAGAACAGAGGAATTTCATGAGAATGCGTTCCGCATCCAACAATCTTCTTTCGGGAGAATCCCGCGACTCATGACCAGGCCCGTGCGCCGCGTTGGAGAATCGTCGGCGGGCTGCGCCGCCGAGACTCTCGGCGCGCCGCCACCAGCCGCATGTTCACCATGGCGCGCCGCCGCGCCGCCGCCGGTGATTTCTCGCGGCGCCTCGTCGTTCGTTCCGCCTGCGGAAACTCGTCCCGAGCCAATAACTCCACATGATCCTCCTAAACGCAATTTTACATGAACACCTTTGACAAATTCGCAGCTCTTGCATTCCCCCGGGAAAATTGAAAATCGCCTTGATTGCATTTGAGAGCGCTGATGATACTCTTTAATGTCGCATCTCGAATTTACGTGCACGTTCGTGATGATCATCCACGTTCGTCTGTGTGAGAGAACCGATCAAGGTGAGGTCCTGAAGTGGTGGCTCGAAAACAAACCCTCGTTTCCTGCTCTAGCCAAATTAGCACGGGTCATCCTATCAATACCGGCGACCTCAGCTGAGCCGGAGAGACGTTTTTCGACCGCTGGCAATTTACTGCTCGAAAAAAGGTGTGCGATGGATTCCGTGACCGCCTCGGAAGTTCTCTTCATCCATGTTAATAAAGCCTTCATCTGAGCCGAGTGATGTAGCCCCAAGAATGATGAGCTGCTTGGGTTTTTCGAACATAACTCTCTTGGCTTGTGCATTTCATCAATTTCCACCACAGTTCCCGCTTTAGTTGGCTGGAACAGGAGATCATCGAGTGATATGCTATCAGTCAGCTCGCAGAGCGGATAAGGTGTGGGGGAAACATGCTTGCATGATGTCTTCTCGGATTCAGCCACGCGCTACGCAGCCGCCCCGCCGCCGACTGATCAGCCCCGCCGCGGCGGGCCGTGCCGTCGCAAAACGCCGCGGGGTGCTTCGCCTCCGTCAATATTTCGGTCCACCGCCGCCGTCAATATTTCGGTCCACCGCCGCCGCCGTCACCTTCAACCGCGGCGCACAGGTCTGCTCATGACTCCTTAGTCGCGCGGATTGTTTTCTATCGATTCCATGTACAGACTGTCGACCTCTCATCAGCTGAGCTATAGATTGGTGATGAGATGAGTGAGTTCACAGCATTTCTGATTGTTCAATTTTACATTTTCGGTCAGTCAAGCTCTTTTTATTCGACACGTTCCCCACGCCGTGCCGGCGCCGCGCCACAGCTTCAGCTGCTCTAAGCATGATATAGGTTCGAATGTCCCCTGAATTCTGGAAAGCCTATCGGGAAAAACTTGGGCTTGAATCGTCCTGGGCGACACTCCCGTTTGACTTGTCAGACTTCTCCCTCGACGCCGAGTCGGAACCTCCTAGAGGCATGGTGGATCGGTCGAGAGGCTCCGGGTGCTCAGGAGCAGACGCGGCCATTGCACCGGAGTAGCGTTTCCAAGGCCATCCTTTTCTCCGTGGAGGTCTGCGAACCGCTTTCCTCTCGCTCCCGGGAGGAGGCTGTTTTCCTCAACATGCGACTCCGTGAGTTTTCCTCGTTTAGAGCAACGATTTAGTTTTTTTCGACACGGAATAATTTTATACAATCTAGAGACTACGAGCGTTAGAGGACAACTCACGAAGCACAATGTCGCACAACGAAGAAGTCCTTCCCTACTACTATGAGACAAACGAGTGCAGCACGGACAGCAATTGTTCGGTGGCTGACCCGAACGCAGTTTGTGATGAATATCACTCTAGATGCATCTGCCTGCACGAATTATACAGGTCAGTGGCAGCAAAACGTCAGAGATTGACAATGATCGGAGCTTCGCCTCTCGAATCCTTCTACGAGTATTCGATGGGAACGTGTGCTTCCACCCTCAGGGATATCACTGTTCCCGAGATCCGCTGCGTAGGCGGCAGACAGATTAACCAATGGTGCAGCTCGTCGAAACAATGTTACGTCGTAAACACTCAAACCACTTGCGTTGGCAGCTTCATGAGAAGTCTCTGCAAATGTTTGCACGGGTGAGTTGAACGAGGACTATGAGGAAGGCGCGGGAGACTGGAAAAAAATCATTCGAAGGCCGTATTCCTCCCCAGGGAATATTCCCGTTCTTCAGAACGTCTTACGTCGGCTATTTTACAGCTTCTATTTCAACGCAGACAACAAGAGCTGCGTGCAGTACCCCGAAGGAGAAGTGTACATGGTCGATGAGGCGGACAAAATCATGTTCTTCAACGCGAACTTCATGGCTTTCGCTGTTTTCGTATTTCTTGCCGTCATTATCCTGGCGATTCAAAAAGACCTCATCTGTGACATACTGAAAGGAAAGATATCTCCGCTGAACGACGCCATGAATGCTGAAGCCGAAGAAGGTAAACGCCAGGGCAGTTCGGAAGGATTTTCGCTGATCTGAATTCTCATAAGGAGCAATTCCGCGCTCGAGGTCGTCCTGATCGAGACTGAATATTATAGGTGTGGATCGGATACAGAACGCCTCCTCCACTCACTCATCACCCATGGCAGGACCTGCTGAGGATGTGGAAGCTGGTGCTGCTGCTGCTACCGACGTAGGAGAGGACGAAGTTGACCCTGGCGAATCCCCGACTTCAGCGCAAGAAATCGCTGTCGAAACCTGAGACCCCGCGGAAAAATGCACGGGTCGGAAGCGGTCGTGAATCATCTGGATAGGTCTTCACATTTTATAGATTCACTCCCATAGGTCAATGGTATGACGAATCGGCGTGATTCGTGTCACTGATCCTTGATAACACCTGATTAAGCTCAACAGGTTCAAGCGTCCCCATCGATTAATCCATAGAGCTTCCCTCATTTCTGTGGATGAATGAATGCCAGACGCAAAGATGTAATCATTTCATTGGTCGCGTTAGATCCGAGATCGTTCGTTGGTCAGAGAGTCTACGGAGGTCAGGTCGTCGAATCGATCGCCTATTTCCGCGCAAGCTGCACTCAGGAAGCAGCATCTTGCAATCAAATCAACAGAAGCCACGGCTGTGATTCCCTGCCTGTTTTAATTCGCGAGCCCTTCACTGGAAAACACGATTCTGAGTTCCGAGAAGATTTTGCGCACTTGATGCCCCCAGTTCCTCCTTGGATTCCGGAGCCATCTAACGCTTGCTCATCGTACTGTCGATCCTCGTTCCATATCAGAACCGGACAGAGTCGGATTCGACTTCTTCCAGAGGAATCGGATCGCGGATTGCGCGGAGCGTCTTGTGGCGGTCAGGGACTGCTCATGGGCAGCTTGAATAGCTAGAGATTCCGTGAAGAGCAGCAATAATTGTTTGATAAGCTCTACTTTCCGCATTGTTCAGAGCAGCATCCTGAGGGACATACTCATACATATGTAGGAGAGTTTAAAGATTTTTGCTATACTTGTATTCGCGTTGAAATGGGTAGCTTGTATTCCGTTACCTCGAGAGTCACTCAGCCGAATTTCCCCTGTACAGTGGAGTACAAACTAAGAGCGAGTTCAAGCTTCGGACATATTTATTGCCAGCTTTGGATCAGATGGATGTGAAATCGAGTATGTTCAACCCCTGGATAGCGGATAATACTCATCATGAGTGGATACGATTCGTACATGCTCTTGTATAGAGTGCCTTTATCCGTTCGATCAGCTGTGATAGATGTTTCTCGCCAGTCGCTTTGTCAAAACATGCGGCTCCGGACGCGATGCAATAGTTCCCGTTTTCGGATAACAACAATCGAGGAGCAATAAAATCATTTTGCCAAATCCCTTTATTCTCTCACTATCGTATCCAGTGATGACTTATAACGGAAATTATACATTCAGATGCGATTCAGATCGGTATAAGGACTCGAGTCCAGAGAAGAGGGACCAGCATCTCCGAACCTCCCCTTCCCCCCGCTCCTCGAGTCTTTGGCTCCTCGAGTCAGTTGTTCGCATCCACGCTGGTCCGCCCGGGTACCTCCGAACAAAAGGACACAGTCAGGACCCGGTATAGGCGACCAGAGTGATACCAGAGTCTCGGGGCAAATCCCGCGGGTCGAGAGTGAATGATCTCGATCCGTAGCGCCTCCCTCCGTCTCTTCTTTCTTAGCTTGTTCCCTCTCTCGCCTAAAGAAGCCTTGCTCCTGCTCGGGCATCGACAATGACCGCCTCTGTCGGTGCGACCTTTCTCTCCACCTCAAAAATCTCTCTCTCAGCTGCTGCTTCATCTGAACTCTCCTAGCAGACGATATGGGCTAAACAAGCGACCTCGAACAAGGGTTGGATTCTTGAAAGAACAGAATTCTGTGGATCGTCCGACACTTACCGCGACCCGAGATCGGCCTGTGCCTTGAGCACTGCTCGTTGTGACAATGAAAATCTGACAGCGATCGATGGCCCTCGCCAAAGGAGGCCGCCAGGTTGGTGAAAGTCTTGCGCATTCAAATTCCTATAAGCTCCACTCTCGCGCAGTGCTCTGTCAAGTTCTCGAGGGAATTAGTCTTGGGAGCGTTTCCTCAGACGTTGTGGGCGGATGTCATGTGTTCTCGAGGAGTCAGGGAGAGCCGAGTGGTCTCACGGCACACTGACACAGAGCGAGAGTAGTTGAACCAGAACTCTCATTGAGATCTCTTCTCAATGGCGCACGAAGAGCTCTAACAGAAAACGCCGATCAGGAGATGCCCTTGGTGTCATCACTCCGGCTCGAGAATCAGCTCCCACGTGTTGGTTGCGCCCCCGGGAGAAGTTCCCTCCTCGATCGGGAGAGATCGACCCGACAAGCATCGGTCCCTCGTAGCGGAGCGAACTCTGCTGGAGGCTGGAAGTGGAAAATATTTATCCTCATCCCAAGTTCCTGCGACACGGTCCGGGTCTTGTCTCCGAACAATCGGACCCATTCTATAGCCCCGATTTCAGTTGATTATCATTGAAAGAATCCCATTTTGTCTGATCAGAGCTCGGCTCGTATCCGGAGACGGTCATCCGACGGATAGACAGCATGGATTGCAACAACTGCTAGCGAATACCGGTAAGCGATGTGGAATGAAGTCTGAAAGTTTTCGTCAACTCTCTGCCGGGGGCAGCCTCTCTTCCCTGCTCCCCTTGTCTGCTGCCTGTTACGGAAGTTCTTCTCTTACCAGGCCAATCCGATATAGGCGAGGCATGAGCTGGAGCCGTCGGATCAGGAGACCCTGGTTCCCCCTGGGATTTTTCGTGATCATCGCAGTGGGGGGAACCCATATCGTGACTGCGGTTCCCGCGTACGAATGTAGCGTTGACTTGGATTGCTCTAGCAAGGACTCGAACGCCGTCTGCGACACAAACCATAGCCTATGCAAGTGCACCAACGGTCTTTACAGGTGGGTCACTCTCCGGGATTCTAGCTCTCGACAATGAAGAGGAACAATGTTCCACAATAAGAGCAGCTTCTCCCTCACCGGTTTCGAACCGATGAATCGGCTCATGCGCTCTATCAGAATTACCTGAGAAGGGACTCGTGTGAGCCGAGAGGGATCGTGCAGTCACCGTGGTGGATATCGTTGCAGGGGACCCCCGTACCGTGAAATAAAATGCTCCGTGGGAAAAGCCTACAACGAGCGGTGCCGTTCTCCGAGGGAATGCCTGTTAGTGGACCAGTATTCGGACTGCGTGGCACACGTGTGCCGCTGCCTTCCGGGGTGAGTGGCGTTCCGTTTATGGTCAGGAATTTTCATGCCCTCAGTTGCAGTTTCCTCTCGTAGAGTTAGAACCCGACGATCCTGACACGTCGACGTCGCCCATCAAATGCTGATCGACTCTATCGTGACAGGTACAACCCCATACCGGGCGCAAACATCAGTCAAGGCTCGGTGCGATGCTTGCTCGATGAATACCGTTTCAACGCTGACCACGCTCACCTGACGTTCTTTAAGGTTAGCCCTGTACCCTTGTTAGTTATATGTATAATTCTCGTGTACCTGGGCTATCAGCGTGGCGCGAAAGTTCCTCAGAGACGGGGTAGTTCAACGAGCAATAGGCGGATAGTCCCCATGTGGCGCGGCGTGACTTTCCACCAGGCTACCACTCCCCCTCGGAACTCCACTACTTTGCCGAACGGCAGCGCTGGTTCGAACTCGAGCGGCTCCCAAAACGGTCACGCCGTCGTGATGGTCGGAGACGCAGGACTTCGGAGGGAATCTTCGTCGGCTACAGATTCCCGCCGCAGTCGAGGCTCCGCACATTCCCAGCGGGATTCTAGCGGACGGGAACGCCAGGAAAGAGCTCAGCCGCTCCCATCGGATAGAGCTGGTCAAACTCACGACAACAACAATAGCAGCAGCAGACCAACGGAGCGACGGGATTCGGCCATGTCCCCACCCCCTCCGTATGCTCAAGAAGAAGCTCCACCGAGTTACGAGGACGCCATTCGGGCTTCCAGAGTCGCTTCAAGAGAGCCAGCGATGGCTGACCTGGCGGAAACGAGCAACCGAACGGCGGCGACGTCAACGGAACCTCCGAATCAACTCCCTAACGGTACCTCGGTCGTCGAAAGCGACACCAATCAAAACATCGAATTCCACAATATCATGGAAATGCCGAACCAACAAGTGACCAAGCGTCCGAGTGCTTGACGGAGAAGCCGCGGGCTCATGGAAATCACTAAATCAGGCGAATGAACTTATATCAAGACATACAAATTGTTCCGTACGATATATCCCTATGAGGGAAAGGCTATGGTTGACAAACGGGCGACGTAAAACCTCATTGACAGGTCCCGTTCCTGATATCTCGCGGTCATATTCGCCTTTTCCGAATCTTTTTTCTCAGTGCGAATGCTTGATTGTGAAAACTCAACGGTCCATCGAATTGTCTTGCACCAGTTGATTCCGTGATCCCTGTGTGGATTTTGTGCTCCCCGTGTGATGCGAGTGGAATCTTACCCAGAACGGTTCATTGCACTTTGGATATTGTTGCTGGAATGTGTTATCGAAAGGGACTCGCGATATCGCGTGCTTGTGAGAGCATCAGGACTGGCTGAACAGAGAGCGTGTGGGCAAACATGAAAACATGGGAATCAGCCAGAACGATGTACTGTATTCCGATCGGTCGACCACTTGCCCATCGATCGGTTCTTTCTTCCATGAGTCAATATTATACGCTTGTCGTGCTGCTCTAGAACTCCCACGCATTTTTTCCCATTTCCGAATCCCGAGCATTTTCTCTCTATGCTTTAGCACGCAACACATTGATCTCATCGAGAGCGTCTGCTTTGTTTATCACAAATGATAATAATTGATCATACCGATCAAAAAGAAGTGAGGACGAGTTTGACAGCTCGCCGTCTCAGATTCCAAACAAGCACATTCTCCATGCATACCGTACAAAAAAACAGAACAAACTACTCCGGACGGGAATGTAGGGGTGGATAACTATAGATATACGATTTTCGAGACGGAAATTCATCAGGATCGAGTTCTGAGACTCGGGCATTCGGTGCGGCTTCGGGGAATCGGAGAAAGCTCCTCCGTGCAGACGGATAATCCCGATTCAGCCCCTCTGCGCGAAATCCTGTCAGGCGACAACACGAAATTCACTCACTCATCAATCTGGTCAGCCATCTGTTGAAGGATGAACTCAAGTTGTTAAGAGTTCTGCCCTGATTCAATGGAGATCTCTCCCATTTCGATGGATACAGTCTTGGGAGATATTCTAGAGTTGAAAAATAAGGATACTAACCGACTTTCTTGATGATTTGTCATGGATTCGACCCGCGGGAAAAAATATGTCGTCGATGAGGAGTGTATATCGGTTAGAGCATCTTCTACTTTTTCGCACTTTGTCAACTTTTCTAACTCGAATTGTCATCAACAAACGCATCGACCGCTGCCCCTACCCCTTCGCCCCTCCTCCCCCACCGATCCCTGCAATAGTCCCGGAGCGGCATGTCGGCCTAGCCGTGAGTAGTCGGTGCGTGTTTGTTGTCTTCATAGGAGTTTCGAGTACTATTCGGCTAATAGTTTAGGCCTGTGGAGGCATGTCATGAGCATTGATATAGAGCGCAATGAAACAAAGGGAAACTCGTGAGGGTTTCCCCAGACCGGAGATGAAGTCGGATCAACGTCAAGCGTATTCCGAAACAAATGCTAGTCCGAATAGTCCATCCTGTATATTGCTGTACAATAATGAAACGGCTGCCAGAGCTAAAATGAAGGTACAGGAGGAGATGCCCACCAGAGCTTTAGAATATTTTGCCAGATACTACAAGCTGAATCAACGAATGAAGCGAATATAAGCGTCGGCAACCGTCCAACGAGTCGAAATCGGTAGAAAAACCGCGAATTCCGCATTCGGACGTCGACTTGTAGATATTTTTCGCGTTTCTCCAAGCTGCTGCTGATAAGAGATGAAACGCCAATGTGGAGCGGACTCATTTATGATTGGGTCCCTCTACACGGATGCGAAATGGTCCGCATTGGCCTGCAAGCTACGATTTCATATTCCGATTTGTATAATAATCACGTTCATACCGTCGATGTAGCTCTGGAAATTCCCTAAATCCTAACTTATGAAGACGATTACACAGTCGATGAGGTGAACGAGAATTATGGATCCATGGAATAAACTCTCACCGTTACAAACCGAAGCAAAACACAAGTCATTCCTATAATTTTAGAATTGAAAAGCACGATGCCTGCTCATCATATATCACGGAATCCCCCTCCGGATTTATTATGGCCTTTGAATATTATTTTGATCACGATCCGATCTGAGGTCAAACATTCTGACGAAGATCTTGTCGCGTCGATCCTGTCCGCTTAATTTAATCGACGCTCATTTTTATTTTATAGAAATCATGTCTTGACGCCTCTCGAGAACTTTTTCCATTCCGGTATTCTCCTCCACTCCACGTGCCAAGGTTCTTCCTACTTTTTGAATCCATTATCATTATTATTGTAAAAATATTTTTGGTGGCTTTAAAATAGGTGGCTCTTGTTTTTTTGGCACGAGTCCGTCGTGTCGATTTTTTTCTAACGCCAGTCGGGCTGGTGTTGAGAAAATTGCTTTTTCTGGATCACTGGGTGTCCGTTAATGTACGATATCGATTTCGGAGAACTGCGTCGCTTGTCGACTTGTTGACCTAATCTCATTCGTGCTTCCCAAGGTAAACCTGCGTGTTCGAGGAGTGCACAAAGAACTTCCACCATCTTGTTGCAAGATATCCGATATTCGGGCCGCTACGTATACCAGTCTATTCGCTCTTGTTTATTCTTCTTATCGTTGGGTAAGGGTTATAAGAAGATTTCGTTGACTTTGTTTCTATCTCTCGATTTTTTTGGGGGAGCAGAATCGAGGATCCTTATAAGCTACGCTCCCTTCTGGACAAAATCAAACTATCGAAATATTATCGTAGAAACTAAGAGCAATCCGACGATGAGTCTTGGAGCGGACACCAAGCTCCCTGTCGGAAAGACAGTCGAGCGTATTCCTTAGAGACGGCAGAATACTCCCGCACGCGAGTCAAACCAGTGGCTAATACTGGTATGATATATCTGGTATAATCAGGAAACTTCAATTCTCGTTTGATTATTCTCAAGGTCCGCGAGTTGAATGAAAATAAAATACTCGTCGTCGGAATAAATATAGATATGAAGGTATATCATAGAATTTAACCTCGGGGCTCAGTGCTGGATTCTGAAGGTGGCGGCGTCGAGGTTCATGTTGCGTTGAGCCTGCATCCTCATTTGCTGTGCCTGCTGTTGGCGGGCGCGAACAACTTCGGCGTAGCTACGCGTCAAGCGAATGTGGGGAGGGACTGTGGCCTTGAGTTTCTCAAGGTTGCACTCGAGTCGTGTCTCCAGCTCTGTTAGGGGGAAGTTTTGAAAGTCATTAGTTGGCGCGAGAATGCTGAGCATAAGGATCGAGTTCGAGCAATCGAATATCTCTTCGGAAGTACTGAGGGGTGTATTCCACACCGTACTCCTGTGGGCATACCTGGGAGAACGGGAGACGGCTGCCGTTCCTGAGCGATACCAGATGCGCATGCGGGCATTTCCGCAACTTTTCGCTTGAGGACAGCGAAGATCTCCGCGAAGAGCTTCTTGTACTCTGGCGGGGAATGTTCGAAGTGCCTGTTGAAGGTTTCTTGGTCGGCGACGCTGAGCGTCGACAACGCGTTGGTGGCCTGATGTCCGCTGTGGACAGTATTGGTAGAGATCGCAGGCTCGATTTGGGGGAATTTGGAGCAAGATTTCGGTGGTACAGTGACTGGTTGTACGTCAACAATGTGCTGTTTCTTCTTTTTCAAAACCAGGATTTCCGTCTGACAGGCGGCATCCTTTAGACGCTGAGCGTTGGGTTCAGCATCGGCGTTCAGAGCATTGTCATCGAGTTCAGGCGTGATCGATACTTCCGAGCCGAGACCAGCATCACTCTGTCCTTTCGAGTGCATCGATGCTGTCATGGCGTCTTCAGCTTCGAAATCACGTCGTCGCGCTTCGAGAAGCGCTTCGTACTTCTCAATTAGGACTCTGTACTGCATGTCGAGCTCGTAAAGAAGAGTGTTTCCTTCTTCCTGCTCGGTGTCGGCTTCCTGCTGTCGCGTTTCGGACTGAGTTTCGGAAGGGCCGTTGTCGTCGTCTCCATCCACCGAAAGATTGGAACAAGGTCTGTAAGGGTTTGGAACAATTAGCGAATCGAAGCGTAATGCTGGAGGGTGACCGAGGCATCAGGGAATCAGTGACGCCCTCACGAAGACGTAGGCCACGCAACGATCCACAGGGCAGCTTTTCGATTGGACAGATTTTGGTTTCGCTTACTTGTTGCCAATGTCCAGGTCGCCGACAGTGCCGCCCAACTCCATTTGGATGTTGAGGCTCAATCTTTCACGTTCCCTAGAGGACAGAAGTTCTTCGCGGAGTCTTGCGTTCTCCTGAACGGACCTCTCAAGTTCCGATGAGAGGGTCTCTCGCATCCTTTGCTCGCGAGAAATCTGACTGCGAAGACGTGCCATATCTGACCGCAATCGAAGAACCTCTTGCAGTTCAAGAGGGGTATCCTGCAGAGAGACCGGTAGCCAAATGAGCTCCTACGGTGTCGGGTTTACCTTGGAGACTCCTCCTTTCCTCCGGAGGAGCTTTGCAATCGGTAGCGGGATTCGGTAGACTTACATCCAAGAGTATGCGATAAGAGGACTACTTACTTCGAACCCGGCAAAATCTGATTCGTCCGAGCCATGAATTCCGCTTTCTTCATCGGTGTTGGACTCCTCGGATGAGGTATAGTCCGAGTGGCTCTTCATCTTGGTCTGTCCTTTCTTCTTTCCGCTGAGGCCATCCGAGTCTGGATTCTTTTGGTGTTGATTTCCAGTACAGGACACACGGATCACGTCCATCTCCTCCTGGAGCTCTTCACAATGTTGTTCGACCAACTCCAGAGAAGCACAAAGCCTGCGCGAAAAGCCAATCTCATGAGCTTCAAACTCAATATATCATCTCGTCATGGGAGCCACCGAAGCTCTCGCACGGGAAAGGGTTCTCGTTTTTTTTTCTTTCAACTCTGCGTCACATTCGACCCAAACACTGCACTATTCGATCGAAATCGGAATCCACTGAGCCTATCATCAGCCGAGCGGGCAGCTGGCATTCGCTGATCCGGAACCTCAGCTCGCAACACCATATGTTACGAAACTCGGACATCACAATGACTAATATCCAGCAGTGTCATGAAAGTCGCTCCCACCGTTTCTAGCTTTATCGCACTCACCAGCTCTTCCAAATTTTGTGCCAGCACCAGATATGCGCGCCGTGACTTGGCGAAGCCGGATGATGGTCAGCGACCGCCAAAATTTTACACATCCTCTCGAACCAGACATGATCGACGTAAATGGGTTGCTCGGTTCGCTCGTTGAAAATCCCCATTTTTCCTCGGAGCAGAGACAACGAACCCCGGACAAACACACGATGGGGCTGACAAGCGACACGTTGGGAGGAGAAGAAGTTCGGAAAAGCGAGCCACGCCAAAAACACGAGCGCGCTCGAATTGACTGCAGTGTTACGCCGGCCACTGGAGTCAGCCCCTCCCTGCGTCAATCGCTGGCCGGTCCTCGCCGCGGCCGCTGCCGCCGTCGCCATGCTAGCGAATCGACCGAAAGCCCGTCCGCCTTCTTCTGGGCGACCACAGTGAACAACTTTGCCTACCATGCAACTTGTGATTCTTCGATCTCCGAGTGACGCACGGCCGCGAGCCGTCAGCGATATTCGTGAATTCCCGAATCGAGGGACAAGAAGGATTCGTGACTGAAGTCACGATGGTGGATAATAACAGCATCGCTGGCTCGAATCGCGACACGCTATCTCCCATGCATGAATTGACTTAACACGACTTCAATTTTCCCCGGAGCTCGATGATGGAACATTTAAATAATTCCACAATCGGGATAACTCTTTGAGCATTGCCTTTTCGTTCCCGCGAGGAATCGGGGTCGAAGAAGATACCGGGGCAAATGCGACCAGGGGAAAATGGAGAATCAAGATTCACTGCAGCACCGCCGAAACTCGCGTCGACGCCGACGTGACCAAGGGAGACGACGTCGGGGATATCCGGAGCAATAGCAGATGGGGAACCGACCGTTAAACGGAACAAAAGACGGAAATGCGCTGATTGAGACTCGTACCATTCTCCCGAGTCAGGCCGTTACGGTTTCGAGGAAACTTCTCCCGTATTTCCTGCAGCATCGACAACAGCGAAGAATCGTCAGTAAGGGAGATATTGTTGGATAGCCGCGCGACTTGAAGGTGAGACTCACGGAGTCACGGGCAGGGACTCACGGAAGATCCCCGTGGAGATGTAGAGACACCCTTTCGGACGCTTCAACCCCGCTGAGGTCTCCCTAAAGCTCCCGATTCGTCGGGAAATGTCGAGACGTCGCGCCGCGCCGTGGGGTTCTCTCCTCGCGATCTCGAATGAGAGAGAACTTTAAAATTTGGTGGGTACGCGGTAGGGGAAACCATGCTTAGCCAGAGACACTTTTGTTTGTGTTTCGTGCCGTTGTTGAGTTTTGGAAAACTTCGGTGCAGCCAGCGACGAGAAAAAATAGCGTTTTTGCCAACATGGCTGCCAAACGGCCGTGCCGACGTCGGGCGAAATGTCTTCCTAGACGAGGGAAGCTCGCTCATCACTTGCGTCGGAGACAAAAAATGAGGGAGACTGAGAATCAAGTCCCGGAGTTTCCTGGTATTCATTTTCAATCGCTTTGCGAGTCATTCCGTTGGACCAACACTCAATCGCGGCCTCGATGACTCTGCTATCACTCGGATGCACACTCGCAGACTCGCGAAGGGGACCGTGACCGATCGTGGACGGTCCGGAAGATTGTCAGAGAAGGTTGCAAGGAAGCGCTGAAACGCCCCGTCCGTGACTCATCAAATCGAAGATCGTGTTCACTAACTCCGTTCGCTAATTCAGCTTTTGTCGAATCGTTCCTCATCGACATCGATCGATTGAAAAAACAAGCCCTACCCTTCAGCCAGCATCGGAACGAATACCATCTTTGAAACCTTCCACCAAAAGCCGCGAATCCGAGGAATATCATCGCTCATCGCATTGGAAATGGAAAACCGGAAAGAGGTGACTCCAGACGAGGAATGGGTCCGAAAGTCGCCTTTTCAAATAAGCGAAACAAAACCCGAGCTGCCAATTCGAAACGAAGTTCCTTCTCCACTTCCCCGAACGCAGGAACACGACACGTGGAGAAGCGGATGGATGTCGAGGAAGATATGAGAGGGGGACGAAAAAAATCAACGACTACTCACGCCTTGATGCGTTTCTTGTCCGTCTTGCTTTCATCGTGTAGGAGACGATTGTTCTTTTCCAGTTCTCCCACGCTTTGCTCGAGGGCCTCGTAGATGCGGAGTCGAGTTTCGTTCGCGTCGCGAAGTTGACAAGCCTGGCTAGTCAAATACTGAAATCGAAGGGAAATGCGATTAGTCCACCGAATAAAAGGAATACGCTCCTGACTCCTGTAGCTCGTGGTGAATCGCCACTAGCTGCGGAAAAAATTTGCGAAAACTGCCCGACCCCCACTAGGAAGTGAGGCGGAATCGTCGTCTGGGTGAGCGAAAACACTGATCGGTCAGCAAGCTGCGAGCGGCGAGAGGAAAGAGCTCTCTTGATTCGATATTTCGTCATCTCGCTGTATAGTGTGCGGGACAATCTCCCCGACGGGTCGAAGTTTGGTCTGCGATGGTACTTTTCGAAAACTCAATGAGGTAATCTACGCCGAATCTGAAGCAATCGCACAGATCCAAGTGCGCACAGTTTCTCAACTTTTGAGCTAGTTTCCCGCAAGAACTCCTGCCAGATGATATAGATCGGAATCCGACGACAAACTTGGGAAGAAGAAGAAGCATGCGACAGCTTGGTCCGCGCCGCCACAGTTGGCCGGTCGCTATCGAAACCGAGGATGTCGAGGAAAGCGAGGAAACATCGGAGCCGACACCGACGGTTGATTCCTCCCTTGAACTGGAGAATGGAAGCTGATTTGATCAAAACTTGGTTGCCCCCATGATCAGACGTTCGGCCTAATAATAGGATCTTGTCCGCTAGACAAGGGTGCACCATTAGCGCAAACGAGCAAGCTGTGTCAATGTCCTTGGTGGACGAGGTACACAAACGTTCAGCCTGCGATGCTGTTCCTCGCATTTCAACTTGTAGGATGCGAGCCGGAGCTCACATTAATGCGCTGGCATCATGCATTCACAAGGATTCATTTATTCATTCGCTCCTTCATTCGTTAGAAGTTCTTTCAGTCATTTGAATGAGCCTTGCCTCCGCTTGTCCTAGCAACAATGGCGAACGCTCGCTCGCTCGCAGCTCAATCAGAACTGCAGCCGAGGTGCTTTTGCAGCAGCGAATGTGGGTTAAGTGCTCCAACGGACGCACTACCCAATGCCATCCGATGTTGAGCTAGCTGCCTCGGCTGACAGACAAACGGTCGGTCGGACGGATAGTCAGTCAGACGGGCCGTCCGTTCGTAGGTTCGTCCGCGGGCCAACTATCCACCGCTAGACCGACAACTATCGGCCGGTCCAAGTTATTCTGGCCCGCGGACGGGGAATAAACTTGTGGAAGTCGTGGCCCGTTTGGAGCGTTTCAGCCGCCGTCGCTCGCAAACACGGGACATTTTTTAACAGCTGGGCTGCGGTATCCTCGGAAGTGGGTGAAACTCAGCGAGCCGATCGACAGCCAGCGAGGCGAGCGACATCATCACGAACTTCTTCGATGCCGGATCGATGATGAGAAACATATGATGATGATGTTTTCCGCAGCTCACAAATCTCGCAGCGAATATCGCGAGCCCGGCCTTAACGGCTCGTAAAAACCTTATAATAGCCGGAATTCCCGAGTCGAGTTCCTTTTTTGTCGCAAAAACACTTTCCTTCCCTCGAGCGCGAAGGTACCCTAGTCTCGGGCTCCGCCTCCGGCTCTGCGATCATGCGAAAAACGAGAATATGTTATTTTCCCTGAATTGTATCTGCCGGGATAGGTTTCCTTCAGATAATGAATTCCGCGCGATCGACGGAGGTTCCTGTGAACATCCATCGATGCGCCCCTTCGCAGCGCGGTGCTCTGATTCCGACCCGGAGGTTTCGTCTCGGGAACCTAAATCATAACTTCCCGGTGCGGGGAGCACCCAAGCGATTTCAAGTTGAACGGTGTGGCTTTCTTGGGCACAACAGTCGATGCGCACGAATTTCTCAATCTTCCACTCCGCCTTCTTGAACGCTTGCTTCAACTTTTCCCGGCGCCTGAGAAAGTTATTTTGAACGGACTGAGCGATGAATATATGGATGCGACGGAGGAATAGATGAATGAGGTCAGGGACGCTGGGCGTCAGACGGTATCCAACGGTGGAAGGAGATGATGACTGACTTCCTCCTCAATGCATCGATAACGATGCCCAGACGACGACGACAACGAGAAGCACAACGAGCTTACGTTGAACGTTACTGACCACGGCAACAACTGCGAACAACTACCGCTACTCTCTGCCGCCGCAGCCGTCGGGCTAACAATGACTGCTGAAAAGAGCACCGAAATTGTTGCCGCGGTTTTCGACGCAGGAAACCCTTCAAGGAATCGTTCACCCTCTGATGACGAAGGTCGTCATCGGAACGTCTTCTTGCGCTTCTTCCTTTCGTACAGCTTCTTCCGAAACATTTCGTCGATCTATCTATGGTTTCGTCTATTTCTTGCTCTACGGCTCGTCGTCCGCTAAGGTTGGGGTTGTCCGTTGAAATATTCCAATCCATGGAAGACGTGCGAGTTGGCCACTATTGTAAATTGCTCGCTCGCTTTCGGAAACATCCACCGCAGCGCATTCTTTTCTCTTCGAAGCGCGGCGAGTCGTTCGCGAACTCGTTTCGTGCTACAGCTTCTGCATTCCAGCAAGCCAGGCGTAACTTCTGTGAGAGAAAGGGAACGCTTGGAAGTTTCGTTGACTTCGGCTGTCGCTTCGTCGTCGACGTCTTCTGCCTGCTTCAGGTACTTGTTCATGACGAGCGCCGACTGCCGCGATCTGTTTCGGCGGCTCGAGCAGCAGAAACTGGCAAAAGCAACTTATGACTCATTCGGTAGCACCATCACCACTTCGGTCGCGCTGCAGCAACTTGGAGCCGGGATAGCAGCAGTCCTTCGATATCCAAGGACGCAAACCGACCGTGGTTTGGAAACAGCTGAACTTTCGACAAGCCACTTCAATGACTAGTTCACTTGGAGCGACCAAGTCCAAAAAAGAACTTGCCAGCTACTTATATCCAATGTCTAAAAATAGTATAGCATATTTCACGGATCGCCATCGGAGGCTTTTTCTCTCCTGGTGCCGGTCGACGAGTCGAGCGTCTGCAACGCTTCCGCGGATGGCCAGCCTCGTGATGCGGTCAACGATTGACGGAACCAAAGAAGACGCGACCCGTCTCACAGTGTTCCGAACATCAACTCCAGAACTGGCGGCGACGTCGACGACAACGGCTGGGTTTGGCAAGTTCGCGAAGCTTGCCAAGACGACGAAAAAACGAGGGTATGCTACCGTAACGACCGAGAGTTGCGCCGGAGCAGTCCTGGGCCGAACTGCGCGCCTAATTTGAGCAGCGGCGAGAAAAGAATTTCCAATGCTATTATATTCTGTCGACGCGTTCCCTTTTTTCACTCCTCTGTTTCCGAAAAATTCTCGGCTCGGAATCATCAAAAGATGGATGGCGGAACCCAGAGAAGGTTCAACGTCAGAGGAATGATCCGCTCGTATAATGGCCTTCGGAGTTTTGAGCGAAGTTTATTAAGTTTTCGGGATGCTTCGGATGCCCCGTGGAAGCAGGAATTTTTTTTGAAGAAAACGAGCCGAAGGGAAAGCGCGAACGATTTGTTCACCAGTCGGTAGGGTTAACAATCCATTTCCGCTCATCTCCCAATCCATCCGGAGCGCATTACGACGGAGCTTTCCAGCACAAGAATTGGAACCTCGATCATTAATGATCGTTCCAGGTCAAAATAGGGAACGTATCCAGGTCTGTCTTGGTGCCTCAGCAGACTTGACCGACTTCGAACGCGTGTGACCTGAACTATATAGACTCAGCCATCGATGGAAAAATCGAGAGGCCCCTTAGCGAAACAGAAATCGCGAATGGATACTAGTTTGCGATCAAGAGAATCGTAGCGACCTCCTGCGCGCAACTGTAGCCCTGGATTGACATAGCTTCAAGAAGAGTACCTTAGCCGGCACTCTGATCGGGTGAGGTGAAATGAGTTTTTAGCGGGAGTGGCAGTCACTTGAAGCTCGTGCCCACGAGCTGTAGGTGCTGGATGCCCTGATTATTCTGACCCGAAGTCAGCCGCGTAACTTCTCCGACTTCAAGAGCCGATTTTTAGTGCAACTCTTGACAGAGCTCGGTCCATCGATAAGTTCACCGATCGCGATCGCTTTATCGAATGCACGAATGATCATGATTCCTCGTCCGACTCGAAAACCCGAGCCTGCCGTCGAAGGTCGGTCAGCTGAAATTTCGTGACGACGTTTCAATCATCTAATTATTTCTCACTGCAGCGAGACATTTTACGCGGATATCAATGAGCTCGATTGTCAGGACATATCACACAAGCGTCGACTTCACAACAGCCAATGCCGGGTGCGGGGCTCAACAATAGATCCCGCTCAGAAACTAGTTCCTCGGTTTCGCAAGCGGAACTTGTGGAGCACGGCGCATGAAGAAGCCGTCCCCAGAAAAACTGCAACGGGGTAGTCACGTCGAAATCGCGGGGAATTATATTTTCTGAGCTCCATAGGAATTTTGCGGTACGCAAGCGCCTCTCGCGGAGACCTTGGACCTCGCGATTTTCGTCCGGTCAACTTACCAACGGTCAACAGCTCGCTCACGCTAGCTTGAAAAATGTCACGTACCGTGTGGATGGGGTCTATTCTAACCGACGGTTCAACAACGACTCTCAGCCTCGGATGGCCTGACCACTGAATCGAACAAAAAGAATTCTCCTACTGGGGCACTTCCTGAATCGGCCCTCGTCTACGAGGCTTCCTCCTCGGTCAGGAGTCCCTTTTTGGAATCATTGCGAGTCTCTTAGAGGAATGAAATACCGAATCATTCGGACCAGGCTCATGCAGGAGCTCTCCCGCCTAAGCGCATCGGGGAATCGAGCTGCGGCCGCGCTTGCGGTTGGAAAAAAGATCAGCGGGCCACTGCCCCTACCAGTACCGCCGCGCCGCCAAGGCGTGGTCAGCTCACGGAACTTCTAAGTCGGCATTTTGACATCTGAGCCTGTGATCAGCCATTCGACATCTGTGGACACTACCCGAGATTTGGAGAGCATTCCTCGCGGGCCTACTGTCTATCGAGAGAAAAAAGATTTCCCGTCTACTACCACGTATATCACCCTCGAATCCAACCACGTCTT